ACTATATCCACACGAACATTCCTCGCGTTGCTGGGCAGTGGCAGCTGGTCGACACAGTTCTGCATTGGATGCAGAGCAGGTGCAGATCTCACAGGTCTGGAATTGTGAGGAGATCTCGTCGACCTTGACATCGATGATTGCGCAGGTCATGGATTCACGGAGGCCAGCTTGACGCAGCTGCAAGATATCCCAGGCTCCACCGCCTAGACCCAATGCTAGGTCAGTGTACGTTGCCTTGGTGTTGCCATAGCCACTGCCCGACGTAACGGAACCCGACGATCGGTAGCAAGATTGAGGATCAGTTGGAGGACGGAAGCCCACAGCACTGGTTCTGCCGATACCACGGATACCCTCGATTGTGAAGGAGTTGTCTACGATGACATTCAGCTTTATCTGGTTTTGACTGAGTCTGCTTCTCATGTTGTTGACGTTCATTCCACCGCCAAGACGACCTACATCACGATCTTCATCAGTCAGAAGCAGCATGTTGCGTGCTATACCACAATTTGCAGATGACGTGCGCAGCTGGATATTGTCAATGGCGTAGTTCATTGCCTCGTAACCGTCTTCAACACGCCCCACTGTGTCCTCAGCCAGGCTGGCCACCGCACCTGCATAGTCTTCAATGGGGAAGAGGGATTGACCGGAAGCAGAGCGGAAAAGGGATCCAGTCTCCCGAGGTGCACCGCGTCCGAAGCCAACAACTCCGTACCTATTCGGACAGCCAGCAGTTGTGCCGATGTTCAAACGTTTGAGCTCTGCGTCGAGGTCGGGGATGATCTCCTTGAGCCAGTCAATTTCGTTACCCATGCTCCTTGACTGGTCAACAACCATGATGAAATCAGCAGCAATTCCTCTCTCCCCACCTCTTAACCGGTATGACTGTGTGTTCGGTTGGCAGAGAGCTGGACATCAAACAAGAAGCATACACACATTAAATACATTATTAAAGGGTATGGAAGCCGAACTCCAAATGTGGTCCATACGGGGCTGCTCCAACTATCTGGGCTCTCAGGTTTGTTAAGAAACAAGGGCAGAACTGATTTGTGCCAGGGCATCTTGCCAAACATGATTCAGAAAGACCTCTGAAATATATTCCTTCTGTGAAGTGTCTAAGTCTAAATTACTGGACTAGAAAGATCCCTTACAACTGGCATCAGCAGGGGAATCAAGTATACAGGAAACTCAGTGAGTAACAATAATTGCCTCTAAATTTGATACGCATATTGCCATGGCATGCACGGGTATTCATTCTTCCAGCACCTGCCCTAATCTAGCAGACATACGGACGCTGTTCATTAGAGAGATCATGACTCTAGAGAGTACCGTATTTCCCCGAATATAAGTCGTACCTTTGTACACTAAAATCCAAGTGTAAAAAAGGGGGTGCGACTTACAATCGAGCATGACTTACTACTGGAGTCAATATATCAAATCAATATGGCTCAAACCGGAAAATGGGGGTGCGACTTAAAATCGGGGAAATACGGTAGTAATATGTTGACTTTGTCTCACCTTGACAGGTAGGTAGAGGATTGGACCACGCCAGGTTCAGCTGGCAATCGGCGAATGTGCTTCCAACCAGACGATGGCCGGCGTTGCAGAAGAAATTGAGTGTTGCACCCGGCTGCACTGGGAAACTCTGACTGAATAGCAAGTTGGCACCTCCATTTGCTGGCGCACCGGGATCCTCGCAGCCAGCTAAACAGGGTAGAAAGGGAGATGGAACGGGATAAAGAAAAAAGGAGTCTTAGAAGATGCTTGTGTATGCTTGCAGGCATCAAGTCTATAGAAAGAAGAGAAGTACTAGCTTCAGGTGGATTGAGCAATGACCGCCTGAGCTGCTCATCATTTGTACTAATGTATGCCCGTACCTGTAAAAGAGTGTATTTGCGAATCTATTGTCTTCAGTGCACGTGGGGTCCCAGACAGTGGTCCCATTTGGAGCATAGATTTTTAACGACTTTTCTTAGCAACACCACTCCACATTCCCAATTGTCCAGGCTCGGTGTTGTTGAGCTCTACATTATCGATATCCTAAGCCTGGGCTACTGGTACATCATGCATGGATACTAAAGGTATGACATAGGCAGCAGACAGCACGCACTCAACCCAGCCTCATGCACGCCCACACACACACACACACACACACAAACTCACGACAAACCATCCAGGGCGAACTTACATCCTGGGCAACGCGGCCCACTGCATAGTCTTCTCTCTTCCAGCAAAGGACAGGACTCTCCGCCGGCCTGCGCTGGAGTCGTAATGCTTCTCTTGCGCCTGGAGAATCCATTGCCACATGTTGCTGAGCAAGCGGAAAACTGTTCCCATGGTCCAACTACACAGTCTACAGGATCCTTTGCTCCTGATAGTGATAAAGGACATTAAAGCGTAAAAGAAGCACAGCAATGTTACGCTGAGGGAACACTCTTGTGACGAGTAGAAGGCTACAAGTGTACCATGTCGAAAGAACTAACTGTGTGGTAACAGTTCAGAGCTGCACTCCTTTCCGTGGAAAAATCTGGATAATATTGGCGCTGCGGCTAATCATTTGACTTCGAACATCCATTCTCACCCAAAAGGACAAGCTGGAATGTGACGACCTACTCCAAGAAGGTGCCGGGGGGGGGGGGGGGGGGGGCGTGACTTATACAATGGTGCAACTCTGTCCCTGGAAAATACCGCACTCATGTAAACAAGTACATGTATTATCCAAGCATACTTTGGGAGAATATAACTTTCTTCCCATTTTGCTGCAAATTGAATCGAAGACCAGATACATGATACGACCCCAAATCTACAGTTTCGAACTGGGGTGAGCGGTGGTTTAAATTAGCTGTGGATATGCCGTGATTTGGCCATACGGTAGCATTCATAACTTAGAGATGACCAAAGGCATTTCACTTACCGACGCATTCGTCCGTCGCAGCATTATACTGAATAGTCATATCCACAAACACACAAGACGTGATGGAACAAAACGGACAATGCTTAGAAAGGCCAGGCAAAGCAGTACAGTGGAGCAAGGACAAAGCGTGTGCCAGGATTCACACACGCAACAAGTGCACGCATATGTATGAAAAATACGTGCAGTTCTTACGTTCTTTTCATACATAATCGTATACAGCGAAACCTCCTTATCACGTGCCAACCACTTTGGCCACAAAGCCACATGGTAATTTGTCAAGCAACCACTTGGGCCACAAAGCTAGTGGTCCCATATTGCCTAGGAACCACTATTCCCACAACGGTTAACTGTATCTGCCTCTGTGAAATTCTATTCAAGTAAGGGTAGCATCCGCTGCCAGGTTCATTGGGAATAGAGACAAGATATGTTATGTTTGAACTATTGCATATGTATAGCAATACAGTGGTATCGGACACGGTACGGTCACTACGGTATTGACCGTACCACTTTTTGCTCCAGGTACCCGTGAATCAATAAAATATACTGATCTGGGATCTAAATTTCCAAAATTTTCAGCCCATCCACCACTCCCCCACGAGTAAATTGTACTTCAGATGGCTGACCGTACCACACTAAAATACTTTCCGACGCCCCTGCAGTAGAAGGTGAAACCAAGGAGAAACACAGAGATCAGAGTCAGTTACATTACCCGTCCTTCTCTCTCTTTGCAGCGACACGTCGCGTCTTGATCAGGTCTGGCCTTGATGCAGTCGAACGATCCACCGCCAGGTGCAGTTGCGTTCGCTCTGCACACACAATCGTAGCACTCGTCGGTCTGCCGTTGGATTTCCGTCGTCTTCACTTCGGTGAAGGCGTTGGTGAAGGACGCTGACTGGGCACCGCTTCTCAGGATGTTGATGTCCCAGCTTGCACCATTCAGTTCCAGGGCCAAGTCCGTGTAGTCAACCTTGGTTCCTGCATACCCAGCGCCGATAGTTGGATTGGAAACACGTGCAAATGCACCATTGGCCAGGCTTCGGAATCCAGCACCTGTGTTAGCAACTCCAAGAAGATTGCCGCCTGCGGGATCGAAGAACTGGTTGTCAATGACAGCGTTGAGAATAAAGTTGTCGTTGGCTAGGCGGTCCTTGACTTGCTGTCGGGTAACGGGTGCAACGCGATCACGATCCTCGTCACTGATGAAGATCATATTGTGAGCAATGCCGGGACCTTGGCGCCATGGGATATTGTCCATAGCAAACATCATGGCCTCATAACCGTCCTCAACACGACCCTGAGGATCTGCTTCAAGATCTTGATTGGCTGATCCGTAGCACTCAACCGGGAAGAGCAGCTCATTTGGATTGCTGCAGGAGGAGCGGAAGAAATGAGCAGTGGCATCCGGAGACTTTCCATATCCGACCAGAGAGTAGAGATTTCTCTGTTCACGTGGCGCACCTGTACCGCGTCCAATGCCGAGATTGTTCAGGGCGCTTTCAAGCGATCGGACCATGTCTGGAAGCCAGGCGTGCTCGCGCTCCATACTGCGCGATTCGTCGACCACAATCAGTACATCTGTGACCGGAGTCAGAGCAAGCTGTCCAACACGGCTAAGGAAGGCTTCCTCCTCGTACTGCCCGTCACAGACCACTGCAAGACAACAAGACAGTAGATTGGAGCAGACCTTACCTAACCAGCCTAAGATCTAGTTCTTATCATTGTAGGAGGTACGAAGCTACAGGAAGCCTCACTAGTCCTGCTTAGTTGCATTGTGTGTGCACAGGGAAAAGGAGGAATCTAGAAGCAGCATACTCAACAGCGCTGATACACTGCACATAACTGCACTCCACTGCACTAGTGCCTAATAAAGGTTGCGACTAACAGCTCAATCTCTACGAGTGCAATCTCAGGTTCTAGTATTCCCCCCCCCCCCAAAAACAGAAGAGGACAATGGTGTAAGTCAGAATGAGTACATTGAGGAATGCTTCAAAGTCAATAAGAAGTTTAACACTACAAACAACAAACTATTCATACTCTTGCATCAAGCAACAGTTCGAACGTATAATACAGGCGGGCATTGTTGCCTATAGGATCTCTTACCACACGATTTCAGGTTGCAAGGTCTATTCTCGTTGGTAGAGCCGCATGGCGTGCCCACACCAGCTGCAGTTTGTAGCACATTGCGGCTGCGCATCTGGGTACCATCACCACAAGTGGCTGAACATTCTCCCCAGCCACTCCAATCAGTGAGCAAACAATCTGCAAGCATCATGTGTAAGACAAAATCCATACTGTAAAACTGGGAATTTTCACTGGTGTAATATTTTCGGTATTTCCCAAAATCAACGGTTTGGTAGCTCGATACTTTCGGTAAACCAGTTTTCCAGATCCGAAAATGCATTTTGCTTACCGCGTGGCATGGCATTGTTGAATTTTAGGTCGCGTTTTATTTCATGTGAAAATTACCTGTATCAAAGTTTAATACTGAAAATAAATCTCCACCGAAATTTTCCGATTTTACAGTAAATCAATCGCTCAAACATGTACCAAACTATTCCACATGGTCTTTGCTATCACCACAATTACTTGACAATTTGCCATTTGGAATAATGAGATGTGTGCAATCCAGTATAATGAGAAATCCACAAGGAACAATGCCGTCTTAAAGCCAAGGGACTGACTGCAACATTCGTCAGTGTTCAGACCGTCAGAGCATACAGGCAAACGAGCTGACGCACGAGATCAACTGTTGACATGTACCTGGTTCACACGATGGCTTGGGTAGATCCCACTCCGGAATCGGTGTTCCGATCTTGCAAGTGAGCACCGGTGGTCCGTTCATGGTGAATCCAAGGTTACACTGATATTCCACTTGACCACCAACGCTGAAATCAGTTGAAATCTGCTGACCATTGGCAATTGGTCCAGGGTCCGTGCAGAACATTTCTATTTCAAAAAAGAGACAACACGGACGTACACGTACACTGAGCACCATGACAACACATACATCAGCGACAAGTAAACTATCGCCAACTTTCTGCCACGAATCGTAGAGAATCGGATTTTAGAGACTTCTAGATGCCATTGGTAGCGACTCCGTATTGAGATATTACTTCAATAATCAATATGAACATCTAAGAAACAGACACAGATTATAGCAAAACGGGAGTGGTAAATTATATGACAATACCCATGCGAGTAAACAGGTTCCTTCATGTGAGTGAGTAAACAGGTTCCTTCGTGTAAGTGAGTAAACAGCCGGGTTCCTTCATGTGAGTGAGTAAACAGGTTCCTTCGTGTAAGTGAGTAAACAGGTTACTTCGTGTAAGTGAGTAAACAGGTTACTTCGTGTAAGTGAGTAAACAGGTTACTTCGTGTAAGTGAGTAAACAGGTTCCTTCGTGTAAGTGAGTAAACAGGTTCCTTCATGTGAGTGAGTAAACAGGTTCCTACCTTCACAGACTGGAAGAGCATCGGACCACTCTCCCGATGACATACAGGTGAGTTTCTGTGAGCCGGCCAGCTCAAAGCCGGGGTCGCAGCCAAACTGGGCCTCTCCCAGGAAGAAGTTATTCGTCATGTTCATACCGCCATTGCGCGGTGACGGCACCCTGGGACACTCAACAGCTGAGCAGTCAGAATACAATGAATGCAATTGCGCGTTGGAAAGCAGTAGAATAACTCGCAGTGTTTAACGGGTATGGGCACTGCTCGCACACATCAGCCCATGTCAGTTCACTTATTCCGATAGGTGGAAGTGTGCATCATCCAGCAATGCAAGCCTCACCTTCAGCATTCAACTGTGCGCATGCATGTCCTACTAAAACCTAAATAATTTTTTAACTATCTTGTTTCGTTCTCGTCCACCCTACTGCAAAACCAGGTGGAAAGTGATCTAGCCTGGGGAGCGGATCAAACATGCACAGACCCAAATCACATCATAGTTGAAGCCGGTAACGCCAGGAGAAGTGACATAGTGCGCATAACCGAGCTGCAAATGAGTAACAGGAGACCTGCTTGAATCCTGTTAGTGTGCATGTGCACAACTACCACGATGTACATGTAATTGATGAATTTTACAAGATCATGAATCCATTGAAGTATGGACCTACTGGTTTTCATGCAATCATGTTACACTGTATAATGAACTGGGTTAGTGGATGGCTATCTGTTATCCTTACGTTCGCAGGTTGGCAGTGGAGATGACCAAGTCTGGCTTGGCAAGCAAACCGCTATCTGCTGACCGACAAGCGTGTATCCTTCGTTGCACGTATAGCTAACTTCGCTGCCTAGGATGAGTCCCTCAAGATTCCTAGCACCATTCACTGGAGTTCCGGGATCCGCGCAGTCGACAGCTGTGAGTGAGAGATAGGGAATGTTGTGTATTAAACACACAGTCTAATGAAGCCACTTGTACTTGGTGACTTCAAGTACATGCATGACGAGAGTCACACAGCACTACACTATCTGAATGCGTAACAGTCTGTCTGCACAGTGTGGATATAAGAAGTCTAATGAGGACTAACATAGCGAAGTTTCTCACGTGTACCAGGGTGTTTCAAGTACCCAGGTACAGGCAACTACATATACGGTGATCTCAGTGAGTATAGTGAATTTTGCTGCTACTGTACTGCAGTTGACTTCAGCACACGAAGCACAGAAGCCATATAGTTTCAACTAGGCCTTTTGCACCACTACTTTTCAAGTAGTTGTATGAAAGGCCTAGTCAAAACTATAATAGTTTCTGTGCTTCGTGTGATGATTTGTTTCCCTTCAACCAATAATCTATTCGATAAGGTTCGCTTACGTTGACACGTGGGTGCCTCATTGGTCCACGTTCCGTCAGCCTGGCATCTAGCGTTGGTGGGACCCACCGGCGCGTGGCCGGCGTCGCAGATCCACACTACCGTGTCGCGGTACAGGTACGGCACCTCGGTCGCACGCTGAATTCCTTGTGCGAACTGACGATCGCCGTACTGAGGTGTGCCCGGGTCGGGACACGTGCGCGCTATATGCATGAGCAGCCAATTCATCATGAAAACAAAAAAAGAACAGTAAAAATGCATGCGGATTATGAAAGAATGTAGCACCTCAATCTAAGGCTGGTCAGGCCATGGTCGGACCTACGCTTCGCCCACCAGCATGTGTTTACTACTCATAAGGTCATGTGTATACCCTTCCATATCATACACAAATTATGAAAAGTTAGGGCAAGCCCTGACCAAATAAAAACTTCTTCCACCGGTCCTGCTAATATCTGCTATGTATATCTGCTATGTATATCTGCTACGTATATCTGCTATGTATATCTGCTATGTATATCTGCTATGTATATCTGCTATGTATATCTGCTATGTATATCTGCTATGTATATCTGCTATGTATATCTGCTACGTATATCTGCTACGTATATCTGCTACGTATATCTGCTACGTATATCTGCTACGTATATCTGCTACGTATATCTGCTACGTATATCTGCTACGTATATCTGCTACGTATATCTGCTACGTATATCTGCTACGTATATCTGCTACGTATATCGTTTGAAAAAGGCAGGTCTTGTAGTAGTGAGGTTAAAATGATCCTTGATTGTGAATATGGCCATGTGCATGTAAAGGCGGATTCTCCTATATATGGACACAGAATGTCTCGCTGCAAATGGATAAGGACTGTACGTAAATCACGCCGCTCAGCTCGGGTGAGTTCCATTCCACGACAAACTGAAGGTGCCATCCGTGGTGCGTGGACTTACGTATACAAGTCGGCGAGGGGTGAGACCACTGTCCATTAGCCTGGCACGTCACGATGCCGTCTGGCCGGTTCTGCATGACGTAGCCCGTGTTACACGTGAACGTGACCGTATCCTGGTACTCCAGACCGGTCAGTGTGTGGCCACCGTTGGCAGTTTCACCGGGATCCGCGCACGATATCTCTGCAATGCCAAGCAGCAGCAGCAGTACACACACACCCAACACACACACACACACACACACACACACACACACACACACACACACACACACAACATTTTGAAATCAGCTCAGGAACAGCAGCAATGCTGTGACTTCATTCCGTATAATACTAATAGTTTGCACACACCAATGCCCCTCTCTTTTTGTTATCAGAAAATCCTATAGACTCTTCTAATTGTCTGCCAACTCCAAGACAGCCACTTACGCATTTGGAGTTGAGAAGTGAAGTGTGGGAATGCCCATGTAAAATAATAAAATACAATACAAAAAATACAAAAGTTTCCTAAACCCCTATAGCATGGCATAACAGAGCGATACCGAAAGGGAAGGCTAATAGTGTACGCCAAGAGTTCCAATTTTAAACAAGAACACTAAAAATTGCATTGTACACCAAGGCTTGGCTTCACAGCTTGACTGTGACTTACTGCGACATGCCGGAGGGATCTCAGACCATCGTCCATCAGGGCCACACACAGCACTGTCTGGTCCATCTCTCACATAGCCTTCGGTGCAGATGTAGTTAACCTGGACAGCAACAAACATGAAGAGACCATAGGGCTGGCTACTAGGAAAGTGACCAGGCACCCCTACCAATGTCCTAGCCATGCTCATAGTTTAGAGAGATTGAGGAGTGTGTGTGTGTGGGGGGGGGGGGGGGGGTGGAGAGAGAAATGGGATACGAATATCTCGAGCAAAATTAAAATGTGTGCAGCTCGAGAACTGAATATGGTCTGCCTGGGTGGCTGGTAGGAGGCGATGAATCTGAATCAGAGTGCGCACACGAAGGAGCACTGTGACGGAGCACTGTGACAGTTTTCTTTACAAGTGTATGCACGCATGTTTGTGCAGGTGCACAAATATATATGTAGGACTCAGTATAGAGTCCATGCACTATATGATGTCCAGCACCCTATATAGAGTCCATTGGTCCAAAATCCACTATACAGAGTCCAGGAGTCCACTCAGTTTTGATCAGCTTCATCCTGCCGCGCAATCCCCTATAAGGAGTACACTTTTTCTACAAGTCCCCTATTCACAGTCCAGGAGTCCAGTTTATCCAGTCACGCCGTCCTGTGTGTTGTGCCCGAAAGAGAACACATTTTCAGTTTTGCTTGCCTCGTGGCAGCGCATTCCTTTCTTCACTTCAGCCATGGCTGCCAATTCTGCTGTGCAGTTGCTGACAGTAATCTGTCTCGAGCTAACCAAGGAGGATAAGGAGACGTTCAAAATCAAATCTGGAAAGCGTCTTGTGGTTCTCTGAAGACGTTTCATCAGTGCGCGGGATGAGCAGAAATTGCAGAACGAGAAAAGTTCAGCACAGTTCAAATCTGACGAGTCAGGTACACTGACGCTCTCTTTCGTTCGACGTCACAAGGATCCCCTGTTTGGCTGGCCATTGCTGCCAGTAAGACGTTTGAACGGTTTTATCAGAGCGAGGGATGAAAGCAGAAAGCGGAGGAAGAGAAAAGTTCAGCACAGTTGCAATCTGACGAGTCAGATACACTGACACTCTCTTTCGTTCGACGCCACAAGGATACCCCTGTTTGACTGGACAAGAGCTGCCTGTACCACCGTGTCAAAAGGCTGTCCAACTACATGGCAGGACGATGACTGAGGTAAGGAAGCTTTTACTCGTTTCGATTGGTCTGCTGTTCTGTCGGTATGCTTGAATTTTTTTGCCATTTTCAAGGAGCGTATCGCGTTTGTTTGATGTTGCTTGAATGAATGCCCTAAAAGTAATCAACCACTTCGTAATAGTCCTCAAGGACTGCAAGGACTTTGCATCAATCGTATATGCATATATGATCGTCTAGCTATCATCAATTATTATTTTATTTCATGAGAAATGTATTCAAGTTTATCCCTGTGATAATTATGTGAACTCCACGACACTCTTCCTGTAGTATGATGTCAAATACAATGGGATCCACAAACGCAGTGCCAGTGTACTAGTAGTAGTAGGACTAGGAGGATTGCTTGTATGGCAATGACAAGAAAAAGCTTCTCAAGCTAATACTCGTATTCTCTGAAGTAACCGTTTTGATGTCACGAACATGACATTGTGTCAGTGAAACTGCCTCGTGACAACAAATCATTGCATTTCCATCTTGGGGAAGACTGACTGACAGCAACGCTGTACAGATTGTTCAAATCATCTCATTTCAATTTAGTTGCAGTGAAGTGAAACACTGTGTACACTACATGTATGTTGGTGTGTCTGTGCGTCTTGAGTGTGCGCAAACGATCTTATTCCTCGTATTACTAATATAGTAATAGATTATTGTCCCCACCATCACCTGTTCACAGGTCTTTGAGTGGATTGATTTTCATTGAGCATCACATTCGTTGAGAACTTGGTAGTTGTGTGCTCCCATGCATCATTACGGTAATAAGCGTATCCTTGTGCTATCTATTTGTTGCAGGTGTGCTGATCTTCAGAAGCTTGCGGAACTGAGTGCTGCTGAACATTTGCATGGCCATGAGCAATGGTGAAGCTTGCTATTGCACTCTCAGCATGTGCTAGTATTATGCTGACCACTGCACTATATTACTCTCGTACACTACTACGTGTATGTAAACGTGCGTGTACCCGTCCCCGTACGCATTCGTTTCGTATAATTATTTGTTATCCCTCTTGACTTTACATGTAAATGGGTGGACGTTTGCATGGCTGTTGGAGTTGCATGTGTATTGTGTCTCTACTCTTTTCTTGGTGTTTTCTTGGCGTTGTATAAGTTTGTGTGTGTGTGTGTGTGTGTGCGCGCGCGCGCGCGCACAATAATTTTGAAAACAAATAATTAATCCTGGGCTCTCCATTATTCTCTTTCGATTCTTGTTTTTTTTCTAGGTATTTTCTTGGCGTTGTGTGGGTGTGTGAATGTGTGTGTGCGTGCACAATAATTTGGCAACACTACATGATTGAGATAATATTATTGTAATTTGCAGCGTCTGCGAAGAGACCACTTGATTTGAAGATGGTGTTTGTAGGGTTTTCATGTAATGAAGTGGCTGCAGTGGCGCCTCAATACATATTTTTTATCTTGAGAAGTGAATGATGTAAAGGATTAAAGGGAGAGGCCGTTTTCTGGTTAATATTCACTGCTTACAGCAGGTCCTATGTCTATTTTCGAACTCGATAGGGGATGCCTAATTGGCTGGACTTTATACAGGGGGTGTTGTCCACATAAAGACTCTTTATAGTTCATTTCAAAGTTTGGACTCCGTACAGTTGATTTTGGACCAATGGACTCTATATAGGGGTGAAGCCAATTGGCTGGACTCTATACAGGGAGTGATGTCCATCGAAACTTTGAGCTCACAGTTGATTCCAAGTTTGGACTCTGTACAGTGGATTATGGACCAATGGACTCTATATAGGGGTTGGACATCATATAGGGGCTGGACGCTCTACTGAGTCCAACATATATATGTATGTCCGTGTGCATGTGCGAGGGAACGCCTGCATTTGACTTGTGGGAAGGGGTCCATGCGTGACCCCTGTGTGGGATGTTGCTGCAGTCGATATATTCATGTCAAACCCGACGGAACCCGTCCGGTTGGTTAGGTCAATACCGGACCAACGTTTGGGCCTTCAACAAGTGTTCACTGCTGTGGAGGGCATGTGCCATCGCCATATCATACACAAAGTATGAAAGGCAATGTTACTACCGGATAAATCAAAACCTGCTTGCAGCGGGTCTGCCTGCAGACTATGCCCCTCCGAGAGCATCTACATCCTACCCTGCTTCTATCCTACCCTGCTTCTATCCTACCCTGCATCTCCATCCTACCCTGCATCTCCATCCTACCCTGCTTCTATCCTACCCAGCATCTCTATCCTACCCTGCTTCTATCCTACCCTGCATCTCCATCTTACCCTGCTTCTATCCTGCCCTGCTTCTATCCTACCCTGCTTCTATCCTAACCTGCTTCTGTTGAAATTTACAACACTTACTGTGCTTTCATAAATGGTGGAAGAGTACTGAGTGCGGCCGTTGGCAACATCCCTCGGTGTGCCACAGTCAATCACTGAGGAAAGGGAAGGAAACAAAGCATTAGGAAAATGTGAATCATCAACAGCGATAAAACATTCCGCCGCATGGCCACAGTCAACAGTCCTATGATAGAAACAGTTCCCTCCCCCCCCCCCCCCCCCCCCCCCAGCACACACCTTCTCCCCTTCTGTTCAGCAGTGGCGTGTCCAGGATTTGGCTGAGGGGGGTTGCGGCCGGGATCAAGGCGGGATGGGGACATCATGGGGTAGGGGTACATGACATCATGCTACTGTCCCAAGTCAGCCATTTTGAAAACCAATGTCAAGAAGCTCCTCCTGTAGCCCCCTTCTTCAACAGTTATTCACCCGAACGGCCCCAGAGACTGTTCCGGAGGATCAGCGCGCCACACGGGGACAAGTATCGAACTTGCTTCAAGTTCCCTTTCTTCGTGGGCCTGCGGGACGATCGACCATGATGTTTCGGGGAAGCATTCTCTGGAACGCTCTCCTCTCTGATTTTAGAGTGATACGTGTCCCTGGTCCCTTCCGAAAAGCTCTTTCTGCCATTGATATACTTACTTTGTGAATATCCTCATTAAACTTTTATTATCTGCCATAAATTCCAACCTTCTATTCTATCAATCATTTGTGCATGCATGTCTATAAAATCAACCACGTGTTCCTGACTCCATGAAATTGTCTTTCTATTCTTTGACTCCATGAAATCAGTATTGTCTTTCTATTTCTGACTCCATGAAATTGTCTTCATCTAAATGTTTCCTTTTCTTCTTGTGGTCCTTTCTGTCTTATATTAATATTATTATCATTTCTTGTTTTCCCTTGCATATCATCCCTTCATCACTCTGTGAGAACCTGTCCTATGGGCAGGTGAGAAGGCATCTCTGCCTGTTCATTTGGTGAAGTAAAATAAACAACAACAACAACAACAACAAGCCGTACATCTCACACACCACGCGCAGTATTTCTGTACACGCAGCAACAATGTACATTGTAAACTTCAAATTTGCCGTTATGTGAGCGAATCAACTGCAATTATTTATGCGAGTCCAACAATTTCTCACCGCTCTCAAAGTATCCTTTACATAGGCAGCGGTACTTGTGACTGTGCGCTGTTCTTCATGTTCTGGCTGCTCGCTGACAACAGGTTCTTCCACGTCTGGCAGAGTGTGACTGTCAGTCCGCTCCGAAAGTTCAACTGGAATAACAGCGACTTCATCACTCCCACTGTTTCCTGTTGGAGCGGCAGCAGGAGTTGCGCCGCGACAGGAACGCTTTACAAAAATTCCAGGCTCTGCTGGCTAGAGCTTGGCCTTTTGGGATGTCCCTGAGACATCGAAGAAAAGCCTTCGAGTCAACCAAAACACGATTCGAACGAGGATGATCGCCTGAGCCCTCGGCATTCGAATCGTGTTTTGGTTGACTCGATCGAAGACTTTTCTTCGATGTTTGTACCGTTGAAGACGCGTCGAGCGCGTCCCAGCAGGGATCACACTGTACAACAGTACACAGTCAGGTCACCGTGTTTCTGTAGCCGTGCATGCTCACTGCACTGTACCGTGTACGTAGACTCTACTCTGTAGACTGTACTGTACTAGTCTGTAGTGTGTACAATCAACACCAGCTCGAGCACCGTACCGTGCAACCGCATTTGGACAATCGTTTCAGGCCGCGCGCGCGCCTAGCCTAGTCTAGCTAGATCCGGCGCCCTGCCTTTTATTTTTCGAAACCTAGGTCGAAATTTTTGAGGGGGGGGGGGGGGGGGGGGCGCGCGCCCCCCGCGCCCCCCCCCCCCCCCCCTAAACCCGCCACTGTTCAGGGTTTTTCGAATGTCTTACTGGCTCTTTCTAACTCTGCAAAACCAGTACTCCTCCTTACCTTCGCACACCGGTATTGGGTTGTTCCATTGGCCGTTTGCCTGACAAGTGATGAGATCTCGGCCATTCAGCCTGTAGCCAGTATCGCATACAAATGAGACGGCACCAGCGAAAGAGAAGTCATTGCCGATGCGGCGTCCATTGGCGGGCTGACCTGGGTCGCTGCAGCTGATCACTATGGAATGATAGAAGTACAACAGAACAGCAGAATATTCACGCATGGTCGACCAGGCAATCAATGAGCCTATATTAGATATACAGTACTACAGGCGTGGTGTAGATAATACTGACCACGTCGTCTACACAGACACAAACAAAATAACAAATAACAATTCAGCAGCAAAGTAATATCTCTTACACTCGCAAGTGGGCAGACGGGCATCCCACGTTCCATCAACTAGACAGACACGTTGCTGAGGTCCGTTGAGCGAGAAGCCGGGGTTGCAGAAGTACTGGACTCTCTCTCCCACCGACAGACTGGGCAAAGTACGATGGCCATTTTCAGGTGTTCCAGGATCACCACATACACCACCTGAGTTTCCAAAGCAATCAAACCAGAGTTCATATTGATGTACTTGTTGGTCAATGTTTCATCGTGTGATAACATAGATGTATCCCATTTAACCACTATACTCTTGTGTACACATACAGTTCAATATCTGCATTGTCTCTTAAAATCGGGAGGGTTCATTTTTGGATCCATTTTGGATAGTGTCTGATAAATCGGATGATTTGGCAGCACTGGAGAAGTGTGTTTTAACACACTTCCATCGTCAATTTTTTGCATGCATCTTACATTCTCACAAACATTGTATCTGTTCGGAATAGTTGTAGAGACTTCTTTGGTGATAATTGTATAGGAGAGGTGGCTGCTTCCCGCACTGGAGCCCACGCTTTTCCGCCGTCTTGACTTGACATTCGACTGTGTATGCACAGTCATGTTGTTGCCTTTTCATGCATACTTTATGTTGCTTCCTGATGTGTTCACCCTGAACAGCGTGTAGGCAAGCATTGTGGCACTCTCCGTCCAGTGTGCCTATGATCAAGTTACAATACCGCATGGATTAAACGATGAGTCGTTTTTTTTATTTCCTGTAAGAGTCCAGGAAGAGCAAAGGACGAAAATGTTCGGTTCTAAAATTTCCTTGTGTTCATTCAGACTGGTGGGGTTTGCGCACATGCATGCACTGCATTGAAGAATACCGTATTATTGCGGCAAATTAAAACTTACGGACACAGACAGGCGGTGGCTGGCTCCATTGTCCGTCGGACTGGCAGGTAGCTCTGGGCTGTCCGTCCAGTACGTATCCAACGTCGCATTCATACATGACCGAGTCCCTGTACATAGTGGTGGTGAAGAGAGCTTTACCATTGCTGATGGCGCTCGGTGTTGGACATCTAACAGCTGATCACAGGAAAAAGGGGATCAGCGCAAAGAAAAGAAGTTCAGTGATGGATGGTCAAAAACCATACATGTACTTCAATTCAAAAATTAATGCGATTGAATGGCATCATTAACTACATCGTAACATGTAAATGCTAGCGTCGGTGCATGCACACATTAACAGCACATAACACCGGAGGAGCGACGAGCTATGCTCTGGTGAAATCCCTGTGCCATGGCCAGTAGTTCGGCTTACTTAAAGCTCGAAGCTGTACTGGTGTAGCTTAGGTGGCGGAAACAGCTATCTATCTACAGCATAGGGTAATACCGGAGGATGCAACCAGTTCCAATCATGTTATTCGTCTTATCGAACAGATACTGTATAGCAGGAAATTTTCGGACGGAAATATTTTCGGACAAAGCCGAATTTCGACCTTTTGCACGGATTTTATTTTCGTACAGTGCTGCATGCTAAATACTGTATGCACGTGTTTGCAAGCAGTACGCATGTACATGTATAGTGTACACAATTGTCACATGACCGAATTTTAGTACAGAATTAATTTTAGTACAAAAGAGGCCATGTACGAAAATTGTACGAAAATAAATTCCGTCCGAAAATTTCCTGCTACACAGTATTCACTCAGGGCCAGTGCTTGTGGTAAGGCCCTGGCCGTGCCACTTTTTGCCAATTCCAGGCTTCGTGAAGTGTTCGGTGTGCATTCGCTTATGTGGAAATACAAAATAATGAGGTATCCTTGTATGCTCCTCGCTAGAGTTGCTCCCTTACAAACTGTTATTGTTGTTCGGTGTGGACTACTGTTCTAGCTGTATGTATATTTGCCGGGAAGGGAATTTGTAGCTGAAGCACACAGATATATGACACCGCATAGAGGTAGAGGTGCATCCTCCAATGGTACTGGCATTGGGCATGGAGAAATGATCGGACCTGTAGCCGACCTGGGGTTGTGCCAGCCCCACCCAGGAGCTGGCCATGGACCTGTCTGTGGAATCATTTTTCATCACTACAGTCCATTCATAAAAAAACGATGAGCGCTGGCTCTGGGAAGCTCCCGTATTTGGCGATTTTTCGTGATCTTATTGTACACAGTGCTGTGAAATTTGAAACTATAAAAGGGTCCAAAAAGGTATCTCAACTGAGGGTCGAACCGCAAGTGGAGTGAAGCGGCCTGGATTTTCACGGTTTGCACAATTCAGTACTTTTGGAGAGAAACCTGGCCGAAATCCTATTCTTGTTATGGCTTGCTTTTTGGAGAAATAGATTTCAGAAACACAATTGGAAGAGAATTCCATGGGGGTTGCAAAAAATTGTGATAAAACTTAAAATTTGACTCATTTATGGCCAAAAGCTAGGATATTATCTTTTTATGTTGTTAGCAAAACCAAGATCAAAACAGGCAGCATAACCTTACGGTCACATGTTGGTCGTGGCTGTGACCAATCGCCGCTGGCGAGACAAAGCAGCGAGGGAGCCCCACGCAGCATGTAACCAGTATCGCACGTGAAGCTGACAACTCCCATGAAGAGGAAGTTGTTGCCTTGCCTTGCACCGTTGGCAGGCATACCAGGGTTGGGACACTGTACAGCTGCAAGGATGGAGAGAGAGAGAGAGGGAGGAAAATCAAGATTTTTTGAGCTTATCAAACTGTGATGTTTATGGTTTTGTACACACAAAACTGGCAACCCCGACTTGCACGGTGCCCCATGTGCTTCGACTTGCACCTGTGGGCTTATATACGGCGTATGAACAAGATTTCACTACACTTTCCCATAAGCTTTAATGTGGTGATTTCCTAACACATTGCTCTTTTTGTCTTGTCGCTCTAGTGGGCACTTCAAATACAAAATAATGTATATTTATTGCTCCCATTATTACAACACCCTTCTTGCTTCATGTAGAAGTATATTACCAGCATTCTTTCAGTTTTTCAGCATCTTAACCTGCCTCATGGCTTCTGTTTAATCTTGTTAACATGCCTAATTGTCCATCGTGCCCCATTGCTGCATTCCTGTTGACATTTACACATAACACTTACGGACACATTCAGGCACTCTCTGATCCCATTGCAGCACAGACGCTCCCGGCGTGGGAGGCAAACACCGTCGCTCCGGCGGTCCGTTGAGTGTGTAGCCGGGGTTGCACTCAAAGCGAGTCACCGAGTTCAGTACGTTGCCGTCCATGTTGCGGAAGCCGTTCTCTGGTCTGCCAGGATCGCCACACACCATAACTGCACATTGTGAGGCAAACCGAAGCACACAAATGTTCTGTGAGAGGCCATTTACACCAGCAATCTGTTCCACAATGTGTAGTGACTGACAATATACATTAACCCTTTCACTGCCAGCTGACCACTCAAGGTGACAAGGCGCTCCCTGCCAGGCTGTCAGCTGAGCTGTACACCCCCTCCCTGCCAGGCACTTTTTACCTCCAGCTCGAAAAATCGAAAGGCCAACTTTTCCTGGATTTTTTGGTACTTTCTGTACGGAATATCGCTTTCCAAAGTATACATCGTAGGTAGACAACTCCTAAAGGAAGCCATTGCCGTCGAAAAAAATCGCAAAATCCGAAGTACAAACGTGCTGCGCGCTCTAGCGCCAGCCGCTGTGCAAAAATGCATGCCATGTCATGCGAAAGTGCGCCGTGCGCCGCATGCGCTACATACACTATGTACACGACCGGCCCGGACACTCGCGAAGTACAGTTAGTTGTTGTTTTGGAGAGAGAAGCAGATCCTTTTTTTGTTAGCTGGGATTGAAAGATCTGCCAGTGGACCGGAGAGCTACAACACTGGAAGCAGAAGAGATGGAGTGCGGAATGTGCTCTGTCTTCGTGGCAACAGGACTTCAGTTGCGAGAGACTTTCGTCCTGTTGTTGCGGACGAAATTCTTGTTGCTGCCACCAGGAAACTCGGAGAACGAAACGATCGTAAGTCGTTTGGTGAAGCAGATCGTGTCGGTGAACAGCTGCGGAATGTTCTGCCGCCATGGTGGTCGTTTGTTCTCCGGATTAGCAGCAGTCCGAATACATTTCGACTTCGGAGAGTGAAGCGCTTCCTTGTTCCGTTGACAAGCGCGGCGTTCGCGGGTGTAATGCACTTTCGCATCAGCTTGCAGTAGATCGTCAGGCATTGAGCCAGAGGTAGGTGTCGTTGTAGAAAGAATATTATAATTATGTTGTAGCTGACATACCTGTAGTGTCTCTTGACTGTGCCGGTCGCCATTGTAACGTAGTTCTTAGAAAATTTTAGTTCTGGACCCGGCGAGCGCCGCCAGAGCTGTTTCCGTCAAGTTTGCAGTGAATGCGTCCGTGAGGAATCCGTCGTGTGGTTGTCTCTACCCGTGACTCCAACCGCCTATCGCAATGGATAGCCGTCTAGAGTCTTGGGCAATGGCTAGGCATCAAGTCTGAACCAAATATCATGCTCCTTGCAATGAAAGTTGACGGGAAAGAGAAAAAAACTGGCACCGACTCAGCAAGGTGGAAGTGCGTGAGAACCGATTTCTTCCGCGCCGCTCGGCTAAAAATCAGATGCGTATTTTCAACGACGCTGGTTCGATTTTTTTCAAATGGCAACCCATGCTTCTGGCAGCGTATTTCGGTGGGTATGGACCTCTTCTAGGGCCTAGTGGCCCTCTACCACGGCTAAACAACTCCAATATTCAAAAATAGCGGCCCAAACTGGCTTAAGTCTGCCTGTCGACAAAAGTCGACGGTGGCACTGGGGACTGCATGTTTCCTTGTCGACTTTCGTCGACAGTGGCACTCAGAGTGCATGAATGCGCTGTCGACTTTCGTCGACAGTGGCAGTGAAAGGGTTAATGTAAACATTTTCTCGTGCAACACAAAGGGAAATTTGATTCGAAAGCTCCTCCATTGCTCCAGCAAATCAATTTGAAGCCAATGTGTTGGCGGTACCAAGAGTACACGAAAACCAGAGTGTGCAGCTCGGATGGGTTGCTGTCACGGCAAAATTCCGTGATTACATCATTTTAGTGACGCGGTGCGTACAAGCAGGATTCAAGCAGGTCTATTTCTGCACAACTGCAGCTCAATTGTACGCACCACGCCACGTCCCGCCTCAGATCTGCACCTAATATGATGTAATCATGACAGTGCTGAAAGGTTACAAATGTGATAATGTGACAATGAAAGTTTGTGCTCGTTGTGGCCATGCCTGGCCATTTCTGTGCTCTGTGTTCTGTACTGCTCTTATTGTTAACACACTGTAGTGGATTAGCGCATTGTTTGCACCCACTTGATCTGTATTTCTCACTTTCATTCTCACGTATCACATTTGTAACCTTTCAGCACTTTTACCATATACTTTCATGTTTTCGCTTGGGTGGAGCTATTGCCTTAAGTTAATATCACTTAAACACTTGCTTTGCACTCAGTACCGTCCACTTTGCTATGCCATTGGAATGCCTGCCAACTGGGATTAATAGCTTCCCCATCAAGTATCAAGCATTGGCAACTATTATCCTCCGTAGAGATTGCCTTTTACAGCCTGGAACCTCTCTGTTTCTAGAGATTGCCTTTTTGTATGCGTTGTACACCCGTGCTGCTGAATAAAAGGAAGAAGAGAGCTGGACTTACCGACACATACTGGAACTGGATCACTCCACCGTCCAGTCATCAAACAATCTATGGTGGGAGATCCTTGCAACATGTACCCACGGTCGCAAGTGAAGCTGACCATAGAACCGGCATTGAAATCATCTCCGATCCTTGCTCCGTTTGCTGGCATTCCAGGATCCGTGCACCTGATCCCTGTGTGAATAGTAAGAGACGATGAGACCATATTGAAATGACTGCTAACATCTTGGCAGAGCAAAGCATGTAAACAAGTCCACACCTAGGTGTCTGACCCAAAGAGATCATTGAAATACCACAGATTCGGTTTTGCTAAAACATATGAAAGAGATGAACTAAGACGTTACAGCTTTGATTGTAATGTTTGAAGATGTTGGTTGCTAACTTGCTAGTGTTTGATCATGACTACCTGATTTCTATCACACTCAGCATGTGGAAATTTAGACGTGCTTTCCATATGCTCCAGATGGCAGTCTCGAGCTGCTCAAGTGTCAACCGGCAAGAATCATGAGCTTAAAGGTTAGGAGCCGCCAACACTTTTTTTCAAATGAGGATAGCATTTTGATAAAAATCAACTCACGTTCACAGGTAGGAGTGGGCCGTGTCCAGCGTCCGTTCATTTGACACTCAGCAGCGGGCTCTCCAACGATCTTGTACCCTCGGTCACACTCCCAGTCGACAGTATCACCGACAGTTGTGCCGCTCATCTTGCGACTACCAAACCGTGGTGTGCCGGGGTCACCACAGCTCCCCACTGCGCAATCAGGAGATACACACAGACACATTAGACAAGTTTCCTAGTCCCGGAAGGGAAGGGAGGGGGGGGGGGGGGGGAGCGTGTGTAGTACAGCTATGTCCTGATGATGTCCAACCCCTGGGGGTGTGTTCCGATCTGGCTGGGTGCATTGCATCCCTTGCTAAGACTACGGGTTTCAAGTCGCAGTGTGGCTCATGATGTACGGTACTAGGCACGGCAGTAAAGCAGAATGCCGACGCCCTTATCAAGCCGGACTTCATGCAGCGCAAATACAAGTGCTAGTCTCAGCATCTCGGTTGTTTGGTATGAAGAAACTGGTCTGGTCTCCCCAAACCGTGCATACAATGGAACTCAGACAACTTAAGAGAGGTTCCTGAATCTAGACAATACTAGTCCATGATTACTTTGGTTCCACTGCAAACTGACATTCGCTGAATACTACTATGGCATTCGCCGTGTAAATGGGCTCTCGCTGAGCAATGGATGATTTATAGTAAAGAAAAAGGACCAAGGAACTTCAAATTACACTATAACGTCCACTAACACCACCAGTTACTAAAAATCAGCTAATACGATAGCATTGCACATTGCAGTTCCTTGGTCCTTTTCTTTACTATAAATTAATGAGTGATTTACTGCAGAATCCCGAGGACAACAGCTAAGCAATCTAGCAGAAAGAATTATACCGGTCAGCAGTCGTAGTCAGCATACTCACAGTTGCAAGAGGCTGGCTCGCCCGACCACGTCCCATCAGCCAAGCAATGACGCACGGTCGATCCAAGGAGACGGTATCCATCGTTGCACGAATACGTAACGTGGTTGGTGTACGTGAAAGCATCCCCTTGTCGTGCGCCGTTCTCTGGGCGACCGGGATTGCCACAGTCAACCACTACAAAAGACAGGTGGCACACCATACATGATAACAACATTGAAACACCCTAAAAGAGAAAAAGATTCACAATAAGCACCTAACTGTTACCAACACTGAATATCTTTGCATCGTTTAAAAAAATATCATTTTAAATATCTGAGAGATCTCACTGGAATATATGTCACTCCCCAGGAGCTGAGAAGCACACCGGTCGAGCTCCATCCACCTGCTGCAAATCATTCATACAACTTCTTCATGGGGTAAGTCACACAATCAACTTACCCATGCAAGATGGCAGTGGCATATTCCAGGTTCCGTCGGGCAGGCAAATCAGTTGCTCAGCACCAGCAAGTCGGTGGCCGGCATTACAGTAGAAATCTAGCTCGTTTCCGACAGCGAAACCATCGCCGGTGTACCCACCATTAGCTATCGGCCGTGGAATAGGGCACATGATTGCTGCATAGAAGGGGAAACACCACACAGTACGCATACAGTGTTCGTGGAATAGGGCACATGATTGCTGCATAGAAGGGGAAACACCACACAGTACGCATACAGTGTTCGTGGAATAGGGCACATGATTGCTGCATAGAAGGGGAAACACCACACAGTACGCATACAGTGTTCGTGGAATAGGGCACATGATTGCTGCATAGAAGGGGAAACACCACACAGTACGCATACAGTGTTCGTGGAATAGGGCACATGATTGCTGCATAGAAGGGGAAACACCACACAGTACGCATACAGTGTTCGTGGAATAGGGCACATGATTGCTGCATAGAAGGGGAAACACCACACAGTACGCATACAGTGTTCGTGGAATAGGGCACATGATTGCTGCATAGAAGGGGAAACACCACACAGTACGCATACAGTGTTCGTGGAATAGGGCACATGATTGCTGCATAGAAGGGGAAACACCACACAGTACGCATACAGTGTTCATGGAATAGGGCACATGATTGCTGCATAGAAGGGGAAACACCACACAGTACGCATACAGTGTTTGGAATACATGGTGGGGGAAGAGGACTGAGTCTAGGGAGCTGTAACTACACCATGTGTACTGGATACACAGAGACACTGGAGCCTCCTTTGAGCATAAGACCTCTTTCCCTATGTAGCCCGGTAATGAGGTCCTGTGACCATGTGCTTCTTCGACGAAGCAGGATGCGCTTGATGACAGAGATGCTAGTACACCCATGCACAAGCATGTGCGTGTGTAGTTGTTGTGCATAGGAGACATCGCCAAATTTATGCTACTTATACACAGTCATATAGAACCGGAAGAAGCACGAAGAATATCAGACTAGTTAAGTCATCAACAACAAACACTGGGCAACATGTCACCAAATAGCGCCCACTGTGATCTGTTCAGTGTCAAATAGTACATAGGTAAGGTAAGGCAAGACTGTATGTGCTAATAGAGGACCTGCCAGCTTGGAAAGGTGAGGATCAGCAAACGCTAGTGCCAGAATGATCGCCCGTGAGAAAACAAGACCGTGGCATTACACTACTTCACCTGTGGCTAGGTAAAGTGCTAATAGAGGACCTCCTCCTGTGAAACAGAAAGGTTCCAGGCTCTACTTGGAAAGATGGGGATCAGCCAAATGTATCAACACTTTCCCCTCTACCTTTTAACTATGCATGGTAAGAAGACCCGTACCCAGCGAAGGGTTGTGCGCTAAATGAGCCACATTTTTCATGAACTGTGAAGTATAAACACCCTGTAGTATAAATAACTTGTGAGGTGCGACTCTTAGTGTGTTGTTGTAAGACTGGACACAAAGGCTGAAGAATATGTTTTCACCTGATGGCTGCATTTAGTTTTCTTACCGTGTGCGTGCGTGTGTGTGTGTGTGTTTGTGTGTGTGTGTGTGTGTGTGTGTTTGTGTGCAAATGCGTTTGTGTGTGTGTGTGTGTGTGGCATACAAGCAAGTGTGATGTTGGCAGCAGTAGACCCATGCCTAGTGCACATAAGAGCAGTACCATAATGGCAATTTGTCCAGGCTTTGACTTACGCACACACTGCGCTGGATCTCCAGACCAAGTACCATCGGTCTGGCATGTGCGCTGCTCACTGCCGCTCAACTGGAATCCAGCGTTGCACTCAAACTGGGCAACACTGCCCAGCGTCACCTGGTCACCAATCTTCCTGCCATGCATTGGCGCTTCCAAGCGACAGCATGAAAGAGCTAAAGAGAAAGGAAAAAGGTGTGCAGGAAGGGACACGTTTCAAACATGCTTATCTCTATAATGATGCGCTACACTTCTCTAACTCTCGACTCGAAACATGATTCTACCAACATGCGCACTACAGTACATACGTGGTTAGCATACTTCACGCAAAATCCATACGGAGTAGGGAGGTTCAATTCTGGTCAGGAGATAGGGAAATGTTTACGAAACATCAGCAGAATCGGGAGGTCCCCTGCCTGATAGGGATGTTCGGTACCTCTGCTAGGTTTTCATACCACCCTCTCCTGGCATATATACCGGCATGGTCGGCACCCAATCTTCATGTTGCCTGATGATTGCGTGAGCATGAAACTTGAAGTAGCAGCAAACAAGCCTTGATTGTCCTTGTTGTTCTGTTCTGGTACCTGTGCTATAATATTCACTTGAAAAATGGTGGTGGCGACCACTCACGTTCACAGCTTGGTCGTGGATGTGACCATTGCTGGGTGTTGAGACATGTGAGGGTAGGCTCTCCGTTAATCATGTAGCCCGTATCACACGTGTACATGACGGTGTTATCTACGCGCAGTCCCTCCAGGCGACGGCTCGCAAACCGCACATTGCCCGGATCTTCGCAGTTCTGAGCTGTGAGCAATAGGTGAACAACACAAAGCATCCTGATGAACTCACTGCATTTTTTGCAGTAATAGTATTGGTTTTGTCCCTTGATGAGTTTGCTTTTGCTGCATGCACAGGAGATTTCAAAGGGATAATGCAAAGCAGATGTGAGAAAATACCAAGGAAGTACTTTTTTGTTGAAGCACTATGCATTATTGTTGCGATCAGTGGCAGGGTTTTTACAATAGGTGTAGTGCTCAACCAGCATGGTGCTAAGTTTGCCATTAATCGCTGAAATTCTCTACTCTTTGCTTGCCATACTCAGGAGCTACTACTACCTTGCACTGTGCCAGCCTCCAATCTCACTTCAGGGACGGCAAAATAGGGAACATAATGTGGCAGTGTCTGGTCTCAACACACAACCCAGATGGGAAGTACTGTAGATCTTTGGTACGTGTGGTGTTCAGGGAGTACTAGGGTACTCTATGAAGGCAGGCAGAAAACTCTCAGAACCGAAACAAACACAGAATAAAAATCCAATCAGTCACAACGTGCACCATTCCCTTACGTGTGCAAGTGACGGGAACGCCACTAAATCTCTCGTCCTCGCGGCATGTTCTGCGCCTGCTACCCGTCAGCGCAAACCCATCATCGCATCTGAACTCTACCACGTCTTCAAACAGAAAGCGATTTCCGATCCGCTGTCCATTTTCTGGCACGGCGGGCTCTGGGCACGAGATTGCTAGAAGAGCAGAGGAAAAAAACAGGCAGGCCATGATCATTTCTTCGAGGAAGTAATCTCTGAGAAACAGCATCGAGCACAATTCATTATAATGATTATATTGACTAATCATTGGTATAATGATTATATTGACTAGTCATTGGTATAATTATTATATTGACTAATCATTGGTATAATGATTATATTGACTAATCATTGGTATAATTATTATATTGACTAATCATTGGTATAATTATTATCATCTACATTCCTAGCACGGCTGCAATCGTCAAGAATTCGAAATCGTCAAGAATTCCCGTACTCACGTTCACACGTCGGTGGTTCCCGGTCGAACTCAAATTGTTGCCGACCGGCGATGCGCAAGCACTTGCGTTCGAATGGCGCCTGAAGGGTCTGTCCGTTGCGCGTGAGGCTGTAACCTACAAAACACTCATAGCGGACGATGCCGTTCATCTGCACGACACCAGTGGTCACGTCGCCATTCACACGGTTGCCATTCTCGAAGAGGGGTTCCAGCACGCATGGGCCTGAAGCAAAAAAAAGAGAGAGAGGCAACAGTTTCATCACACAATTTGCATGGATGAATGTGAAGGATTCCTACAGCGGACGTAAAATACTCAGTCTGACTGAGTCTGACGAGAACCACAGAATCCAATTTTGCATGGACCCTGCATGTATCTAACTGTCGCCATGCATAGTTCCCCGTGGAAACCTTACAAATAGCACCAGACCTCCACATCGAATTAAATAGCATGTGTGCATTTCATCGGTTTGGGGAAGTTGACAAGGTAAAATGCGTAAAGAACAATTGACTGTCCCCAGCAGGACTCAATCCAGGGGCCTTACGACAAGGTATGCAATACTAAGCGACTAGGCTATAAGCCCATTGTACCATGCCAAAAGGAACACTCGAGCAATGCATGTGAGTACGCTGGGATCAGGAATGCAATTTTAACACCCCACACAGCCATGACCAGGAGGCCATGTGGGGTGTTCACGGCACACATTGTGTCACATCACAATGTGCTTTTCGTGTATTCGCTATCCCAGCAAAGTATATGTAAATGCATATAGTACAACATTGGAGCAAGGCTAGGAGTTTGCTACAACTCCGACTCTCATGCGCAGCGCAATCATCAGGCAACATCCGGAAACTGTTGATGTACATGTACACGATTATGGTCACCGTAGTCATAGGGTGCGTGTTGTAAAATTTTAATTAATACTTGCACAGAGGTTGCCTGTGATACTGTGTGCAGTCGCCACCATAGAAAATGTATTTAAAACCAGCAAAGGTTGGCAAAGCATCCTCGTAATCTTTTTTCATTAACTGAACATGCAAATATGTACATACAGAGTTTATCCTTGTCTTCCGGAACGCGGTCCCCTGATCCAATCAAATTGTCACATGCTGCAACACACACAACAGGAAGATAGCCAACAGGTCAACACGGAATCCGAGTTGATGCCGCAGCACCAGATGAAGTTGCGAGAAGATTTTAAGCAACACTAGAAACTCTTTGGAGACTTCCGTTATCGCCTTGTGATAGCGCTTTAATCTATGCTACATGCAGAAAAACATGACTGCGAGACAGTGGAGCATATTTTGGTAGAGATGCAATGAACATTTTGACTACTCAAGCTTATTTTAATCAATCAGCACCTCTCGACTACTGAAATAGTAAATTTCAACTTCAAACCTAAGGATTCACACTTGACCTGGTGGATAAAGGTGCTAAGACATACTCGGATAGAGAAACGTACACAAGAAGTCCTGCTGTGAGTGTAAACCCACAAATTCGACATCATACTTCGAAGTACATAGAAACAGAGCTGAGTTTGAGAGCACAGACTAGGACTGTGTAGCCCTTTGTTCTACACGTATTGTATTCATGGGGTCGAATTTCACTGTCCGACACCTTTATGACTCAAGTTTTGGTTCTGTGAACGCTGCCGCTGTTTTTGTTGTTGTTGTTGATGTTGTTGTTGTTGTTGTTGTTGTTGTTGTTGTTGTTGTTGTTGTTGTTGTTGATGTTGTTGTTGTTGTTGTTGTTGTTGTTGTTGTTGTTGTTGTTGTTGTTGTTGTTGTTGTTGTTGTTGTTGTTGTATTCTTCTATTTTACTTCGTTACACTGACTATGTGAACCCTACAAGCAGTAGTATGGTCATTTATCTAACCCTGGCCAGTGTGAGGTGGGACAAACATGATATCGTAGTGTGTATCCAATTAGTCTGCTTGCACACTGTCTCGTTGGGCAGCCAATGCGCTGCCTCGCACCTATTTAACTCTTTCTACGGAGTATGATCCTGATATGAGCATTCGTATTTATACATGCCATCAGAGATCTATCCTCCCCAACCATAAGCAGACAGTAAAAGTATCTCCATATAAAAGAGATAGTGAGATATGAAAGTATAGAGACCAACATACATGTAGTCACTATCCACTGTCTGAAGAGTGCTCACTGCCCCAGGGCAGAGCCTTCCAACAAAATAGCGATAACAGACGCTGTGTAGTGTGTTGCGACTCTGAATTTCACGTTAGGTCACCTCGTTCCCTGCTGTTCTGACTTCGCGTGAAATTCAGAGTCGCAACTCTGTTTGCTGCGAACGTGCTCATGCGCACACCAGTCACCTGGTCACCGCGCCTGCAGGCTACAACTTTCACACCAAGGTTCAGCTCGAGTGACAGGAACGCGCCCAGACAGGCTGTACGTGGTAGCCTGCGGGCACGGGCAAGGTGACCAGGTGACTGGTGTATGCATGAGCGCGTGACCGCTTACTCAACCGTGTACGATTGGGAATAAGGGCCGAACGCTGCATCACAGCCTTCTCGGACCAAACTGTACCCAGTCAACTCAGTGTCCAAAAGACTATGACATATGGGCCAATGCCGTTCATCCGTGAAATGGCGCTTTTAGTGATATTTTGCATACACCTCCCCATCTAGTAGGGCGCAGTCACCCAGTTTCGGTGGAAGTGGCGAGTTCGATTGGGAATAAAGGAGGAAGGAGCGTCGCAGCTTCCTCGGACCAAGACCATTCAACTCGGCACCCCAAACACTACGAGTAGTGAGGTTTTGCTACCTTTGGTACATGTAAACTGGTCAATTTCAGGAAATCATTATACTTGAGGCTCGTTAGAATAATGGCTTTTACAGTAATATGGCCACACAGTGATTTACATGATCCCACGTCACTCTACCATGGATGACGCAGGTGGCCAAATCTTCCCAAGGAGATCTAGGAAATTCGAAACCCCATCTGGAACAGAACATGCAACCCAAACAAGTGTCTTCTGTCATTCAACAGTAGCTTTAGGGTTGTCCGTGACAATGCAGTTACGCTAGGTGAAATCGGAACCACAGTTCAAAGCTGGCGCCTTGGACCAGTTCCGAATCCGAGGCGATACTGTAGTCTGTATCGGCACATGCGCCCGCCCAGCAGCATTCGTGCTACTTCCAGAGCGCCAAGGCCAGGGCGTGCAACGACTTAGGTGTGTGGGTGAGGACGCCGAATATGCGCTTTGGTTGAATTAATTATTTCACCTACATAGCACAACATGCACTATGCAGGTAAAAGAGAATGAATCAAAATTTTGATATTTTGCGGACGTAACAAACCGGGGATGTTTTCAGTCCTCTTCGTTTCCTGAAACTGAGTCCGCGGATCCGCGTTCGCAGCAAACAGAAATAACTGGACTTCTGCCTAAAATTCACGACAGTTATACACGCGAGTGCACGAGACGATCTACTTCACTCTGTGACTGCACGTACCTTCCAAAATATCCTGACCCCGTGCCGTCCAGTGTAAGACCGCACTTAGCAGAAGGAAGCAAAGGACAGCCTTCATGGCTGCTGGTTGTCTTCCCGAACGCTCCTTCTTTCCACGAAATGGGTTCGTTCGGCAATTAAACGCCAGGTCGAAATCAATAACCTTCTTCAGGACTCTCCTCTCTCACTTCAGGCTCCTTCGGTCATCGTCACTAGCTTTTCTAGCCTCCGGTGGAAACTACAAGGATTATGCAGTCACGTGTTAGATCGAGGTTCGCATACCGCAACAAACACACCGTCGATGCGCACTAACGCGGCTTCATACAGACACTGAGACAGGATCTGGGCCGATATAATCGTCAACGTCCCCCCAGGCGTGCAGAGGTGACACATGAAGGTCTGGATCCTTGTGACATTTCTGTTCTCTCTGTTGCAGGGAAGAAGCGCTAGCGCTGCAAGCTCAACTTTTGACTCCTTGTCTGCACTGCAGAGCGATGGTGCGTGCACTGCACAAGGCTTGTCAATGTCATTGCTCCGCCGGAGCGTAGCAAATCACCTCAATCAGTGTCTTGGGGCGCAATAGACCGAGTATATCTCTGTTTTGGCTCTGAATCTCTCGGATTCATGTAGTGTAGCCTGTAGGTCTACACTGTAGATACACTACTACTAGTACTAGTCCGACCGTAATTTTGCAGTGACTTCGGACGAGTCGTCGACGGCTGGGGCGCAATTCTGCCAGGAGCGCAGCCTCAGCCTACACTGTCTACAACTAGCCTACAGGCCAACTCCTACTCGGGTCGAAGTTCATGAACCCTTGTCAAATCGTGGCATTGCTTCAAGCGCTTGGAATGAAGCATACCGGGCGGGCAGGCTCGCGCGCTGCCATGATTGATCAGTTGATCGACGCCGTGCAGTCAGTGCTGCGATAACCTGAATGATTATGACTATTGTGTCCATCATTTTGAATCGAAATCCCCTGGCACCAGCGCTTTGGAAGCGGGTCGAGTTTGGCTCGGCCGAACCAAGTGGGATGAAAACTTATTTGGTCATCTTGGTCACGGCTGGGTTTACAGTGCTAGTACGCAGTGGTCCTCCGAGTCAAAGAGTATTTCCACTGAAATCCAGGAACTCCAGGATCCTGCCAGTGGCTTTGCTGCAATGCCAGTCGCTTCAAGCTGGTCTCCACGGACATGAGCATTTGACAGCGCAGTGAAGAGTCTACACAGCTTGTACATAGCGAACGTCCAAGCCTGATGTGTGCTGGTCAACAACGCAGTGGCATGCGGACAACAGTGGCTCGACTCTCGGCATAGGCTTTGATTGTCTCCCAAAACGCCCTGCGGACAAGCAACAGACCTATTCCTCCTAGATGTGGTCATGGTCAAGGTCAGAATCTGATTTTCCTCCCAAGCATCACTATTAATTTTTTGTTTCCTGGGACGGGCTAGGGAGACAAATACCAGGGCCATAGCATCGGAATTTCAGGTGGTCCAGTCCCCTGGGATACTTGATGGGCCGGAATGAGTATCGTTGATGAAAACCCCGTTTTCACAAACTGGGTGGGTCAACTTTGTTCGAAATAAGGTTCGGCCCTGGCTGGACCGGCCTGACCAGGTGCTACGGCCCTGGTCTAAGACCACACCAATACACACGAATCGAAGCTGAATAGAAGAAAATCTACTTTTGAAGTAACATTACCAGGTGGAGAGCAGACCTCATGGATTAACTCGTGTCACTGAAGCTGATAAGAGGTTTTAGACAAACAGCTGACCATGATTTACTGCAAATTTGCATTGCTAACTGGAGGCGTAGGAGTGATTGATACAATTAGATTGTTTGTAACGGTGCCCAGTGTGTCAGAAGTCAACAGACCTAGATGTCAAAAGAAACATGCTGCTAAGCTGCCACTACAACGTGTTTTGTCTGGCTGGTCTGGGACATGTCAGCCGGCGGTCACACGCAAGACACACAGAAACTCGAGTGTGTAACACCACACCAGTCATAGTCCTCATTCCCTCTTCGCCGTAGGCTGCCACTCAGACTTCAGAGCTTACAGTCCGTGTAATGACAGACATTATACATAGATGTTTACGCGCGTTGAGCGAGTAATACTGGCACCCGCTGATCACGTTTACCAAACCAGCCAAACATTCGTTGACCATACGAGCTCGTATGTGTTACCGTTGCCGAAGAATCATCAATTTTTTTAATATGTAAACAGTTTCGTACTGCATGTTGCGCCGGGTCTCAGTTGACTTAAAATATGCTTGGTTTATGTTACTGAAGACCTAACAACAGCGCAACAGCACTGTGACTAATATACCAGCCAGGTAAAGGACGCACATGAAAGCAGATGGGAGGAACATTATTATTGGACAGAAGAACCAGAAAAGTAGAAAAAAATGTATGTGCAAGGAGGTATTGGGAGATGTTGGAAATTACATTTGCATCAGACGGTGAGACGACTTGTCCCATTGTAAGGAGCTGCATCCGCCATTATAATTATTCTGTGTGGCAGGGCATTACCCGCCGTCAGTTTCTTCAGGAACAGAATGGAACTGATTGAGCTCTCCTTGACTGTGCACTTCACCGTCGGCAACTTGTTGCCAACTGACTTCCTAGTCTGGCTGTGCAATGCACCACCCTAGTGCGGTTGCCATGGATTTAGCCAATCACTACATAGGAGATTCACTGACTCAATCCGCAACAATGGTTTGACACGTGCATGACATATCCAGACACAATCTATGCGTAACATCTTTACTCATTCGTGATGAATAACTTACTACTGTTCTCACGTTCTGCTGATCAAAATAATCTACATCGTAGTGATTAGAGATGAAATCAACACACGCGCGCGCGCGCGCGCGTGCGTGCGCGCGTGACAATACATACACAGCAACTGTGTCTGATATCTACGTTCAAGGACCTTGCATCTTGCCAACCCTGGCAGGAGGTATGTCAATTGAACAATCACTCATCAGCAGTGGCTCACTTCATATCAAGAGTACATGTACATACATGAGAGCCCTGGTACACTCAAACAACATTGATTGACTGGCAAGTACAGAAATACCCAGCATCTACGAACTTCTACTAACTTCTACCACCCGTAAAACCTGGTAGAGCCAGTACAGGAAAGTAAAATCTGCCGCTTGGCCGGGGTAGAAAACAACGAACACATCTACTGAAAGAAGATTGACTGTAGTCACAGTTCTACCGAGACCTGTAGATCAAAAACGAACGCCCCCTAAATGTACCAACAAAGTGACGTATAGCTATACTAGCACAGTGTAGAAGCCAGAATTTAGGGAATGGGGAGGGGAATTCATGCAGGAGTAGACTGCTTCATTTATTGATTTCTCACAATCTCATAGTATATGTCGCCTTAAAGCTAAGGGCCGGGTTCCACTGCTGCTCCGCTGCTCGTCATCCGCGGCTTGAAATTCAACGCATCAGCATTACCATAGTGACCGTGGCTCGAGCTTTCGCAGCGAGGCCGTGGCTCACAGCGAGCTTTCGCTACAATTCTTGATCAAAAACTGCGAGCCGCGGTCGCAGCTCGACCTGTTTCCCGTACTTTGCATTGGTTTGTACGTGAGCATTTTAAAATTCAAATTTTAATTCGTTGCGCAGGCCAGAACACGAGGATTTTGTTGATTTCGTGCGTGTAGGCAGGTAAAACTTCGTGAAAAAGCATGGAGCACAACCGCGGTAAAAAAACGTATAAAGTTAAACCTTTTAAAGGCCACACCCTTCACAAAGTGACTTTTTTCAGTATTTTGTCTGCCTCGTGAATAGAACTGCAGTTATAAATTTATTTATTTTATTCATTTATTTACTGTCTGCACTTCATGGCACTTGGCATAATGAAAATAGCCTACACAAGAAAGTGAGGGTGAAGCCAACCACGGACCGAGGGCAAAAATGCAAACTGAAGATGACGGTACTTGGACCTGTACATGACGGCTACACAAGTGTGTCGCATGTGTTTAATCTATTTACAACTCCCTTGTGTACACATACACATACACTACACACAGCCCAGTGGCCTGGTCCGATAGGCCCTGTCATGTACAAGCAGGCACTGCATAAACATGTTTTGTTGTATTCTTAGTACTGTACACGTACCATGATGTCCAGCCAGGCCGACACATAACGGCCAGTGAGTACACCCATAGATCATTCTCTCTTATCCGGGCGGTCTGGATCGGGCACTACTCGTAGTGGCGTGCATTTAAGCACATGTGCCTATATCCGGGCATAAGCGCACCCTCACACTGAAATAAGCGCATGGGCTTACATAAGTGAACCTAAATGCAATTCCATCCCAAGACACACGGAGTCACGAACGCCACAAGAAACACCATGTACACATAGTTTAATGTGCATTGCGGTATCGCACTATTTGCATACTTATACAATGTACCGGTACACTAGCAACGCAAGCGCGTGCACCTACGTGTGAGACAAAACAGCCCGCAAAAATAGCAAATAATGCAAAAACTCACTCATCAGCACATGGGCCTTTATGTGCGTCTCTATGGGGTACACATAACTTCGAAGTATCCCGGTAACCATGGTAACTCTGAATCACATACGTTTTTCAATGGGCAAGGGCCAGAGATATGGCATCAGCATGACGTCACTATTGCCAACAAATTGGCAACAGAATAGTATTGCTTCCACTAAAACTCACCCATAGGGTGCTGGGTGGACCGAGGTGCCCGTAACCTGGAGGTCCGGATAAGAGAGGTACAACGGTACATGGCAATGGCCTGCGAAAGACGAAGAGTTTCTGCACTGCAGGGGGAGGGAAGGGGGCTCACTGATCCACTCATCTGTCCCTCCAGGAAGTCGCGATTCCACGGATGCAACAAATTTCGCGATTTTGGCCCAAACCCGTGGTTTTCTGCATAATCTGCGATTTCCCCGCGTTTTTTGTCGTTTCTGCACTTTTTTTAAACATTTTTCTGTACTTTTCCCCCACTGCTTTCCTTGATCATGTTGGTTTTTTGCACAGACTCGACTCATACTACTCCCGAGAGAGTGGAGTAGATCTACTGCCCAAATAGCGATTCTACAGATGCAACAAATTTCGTGATTTGGCCCAAATCCCCAATTTTCTGCAAATAATTCCGCGAATTCCTGGCAAGTTCCGCACTTTTCGGCGCATTTTTCGTTGCTTTCTGCCGCAATTTCGTGCGCAAGTTTTCAAGACTTTTTCCCGCAGGGACAGACTCATGATCATGATATGAGAAAGTGACAGGCAACAACAGCACACACGCCAACACTTCATCACAAGGATCATGCTACAAGGACCATACTCATAATGGATTATGCTACAAGGACCTTACTCACAATTGAACTCCGTCGGGGTTAGGCCGTGCTAAGGCCTAACCGGCCGTTAGGGCTCAAGGCCATTAAAATCTACTTCCAGAGACAATACAGGGGGACTCAATCGTTGTAAGAGAATATTGTGTGTGTGACAGGTCTTGGGTTCTGCAAAACAATTTGACAAGCTTTGAAATGGACACGCCGAAAACCCAGAACACTTAAGTAGATAGACCTAACCCCACCATGATTTCTGGATGGGAAAGAAGTGAAGGAGGGAGAACAGAGGGAGAGATTGAGTAAGTGAGAGGGAGAGAGTGAGTGAGAGAGAGAGAGAGACACACACACACACATACACGACAGGCATGCTCTCTCTCTCTCTCTCTCTCTCTCTCTCTCTCTCTCTCACACACACACACACACACACACACACACACACACACACACCTTGAACCTTGAACTTGCCCATTGCCGTAGGCAATGATAGCGAAAGGACTAATTCGGCGGCAACCGGCAGAAAGGTTCGTGGCGCTTGAGATCGCCGGGGCGGCGCACACACACACACACACACACACACACACACACACACACACACAAACACGAGAGCCAATACAGAGTGACAGATAGCGACCGACAGAGTTGCAGAATAGTAGAGAAGTGGTAAAGATGCCTGAAATATAACAATGGCTACCCATAGTAACCAATGAGTAGCCATTTTATAATTTCATTAGATATTCAGTGAGACATTCCTGGTGTAGCAGAGCTGTTTTGATGCAATTGTTAGGCAAATAGCAATCCACAACATGTCCACTTGAGTGAAACAACTACAACGTGAACTCAACCCTTTACCTGTAAGGTACTTCTGTTTGAAAAGATTTGCTGGCCTCCTGGTGGTGCTCGAGCAGTTGGCACTGCACCACGAACAAATAAAGTGCACATAGTATGAGTTTTTTTTAATAAATAATTATACATGTACATAAATTGTGCATAGGATCAGACCGTCCTGAAACACACGTCAACGAAATGATGTAAACAACCATGACCACCCCAGAGACAAGAAAATCATGCGGCGCAAAGCCTGAGGTTTACAATTTCACACGGTGCCCATCACCACGCAGGTACTGTGCACCTGGAAGCAGCCACCTGTGCACGTTAGGCTGCAAGTGGAAAGTGGGGCTACACAGATCTTCGTTGCGAGTGCGCTCGCTGGTGCCGGCGACAACACACTTGCGCAACCACGGCGGAGCGGTATATTGAACATGCCGTGCTGCTATGCTGCACGCTTGCAACTCAGGCATAACCACACGAAGATCCACTCACAACATCCGATGTGCACTGTCCAGCATGTGGGGAACGGGTCATTGGCCAGTCCAGTGTCATTATTAGCAGGATAAACTCCTCCGGAGTACAGTGCAATGCAGGGAAGTGATTCCCAGGCGTACACGAATCGTGACGCCGACGCCTTAGAGGTGGCATTGTCATGCGGTTAGCTGAAAACCTCTTCAGCCTCAATGAGACGTGCATAATCCTGTATCCATTTTTGCATGGTGTGTGTTCACTGAATACCGGGCAGTAGGATTGGAGCACAGTCAGCTAGGCTCTTCTCGATTGTCAGCAATCCTGCTTCTTGGCGATTCACAGTTGGAAGCTGACTCAAGCTGCACATCAGTACACTGGACGACATGATAGCACTATCGAGGATGTCATCAAGATGAGATTCGAACTCTTGCTCGTTGAGACTAGAATTGTTCTTGGCTTCTCGAAGAGATTTGCTAGCAGAGGCCAGGTGTTCTGACATCAACTTCAAATGGGCCGCCATATCCACAGCCGAAATTGGAGGCTTTACTTTCTTGCCCGATGCATCCATGGTGATTCTACGAAGTTTTATATTATGCTTCAGACAAATACTTACAATGTAGTTGAGTTGAACATTAGCCTGATTAGGTGAGGGACAGAGCAGCAGAATACGTAAGAAAAAAACATGTAAAGTGACTACTAATGGGCCCGGCACACTTCAGACTACAGTATTTTGACTTCGTGATTCTTTGACCAAGCTATGCAAGAACTTGAACTTGAAGAAGCACTACATTTTGTCGCCGAGCTACTTTATCGTGTAGCTAGCTAGCTCGAGGGTCGCGCCGCGATATCCTTGGCGCCTAAAAATAATTTTGTCCTTTATAATTTTTTTGTCGTACTCCTACACAAAAATTATACGCCATTTTGCATCTTTTTGCCACCTGATCTGAAACATGAAAGCAATAAAAATTCTGCTTGCACTTTGTACTTGTGTACGTGTTGAAAGGAAGAAAAAGCAAAATAATCATTCCACTGTTTCTTGACGGAAATTCAGCTAAACAGAAGTATCGTTTGTGCTGTTTGCCGCAAGACCTTGAAGCCGTCTTCAGGTCTCACGCTTGCCGTTCCAGTTTGACTATGGATCCCGGCGATGATGGCGTAGACTTGGGGCCCGTAGATGGAACCTTTGCGGATGAATTTGAGGAAGCGTACACCTCGAAAAAGAGATCCTATGCTGATGCTGGTTTGGATGATGGTGCACCTGCCAAGAAGCCAATGACAGAGGACTACCTTGATGTCCATCAACAGCCGATATCAACTCTTGGTTCGAGCCATCCTCCACCATTGGCACCACCATCTGGATCGGGGAACAAAGCCACACAGGAGGTTGCTGTGTCTGAGAGCCTGATGGGAATGGTAATGGGCAAAGGTGGAGAGACAATTCGCCGTCTGCAATCCGAATCAGGTGCCCGTATTCAGACTGGTGAGGCTGGTCAAGGAAGCGAGCGTATTCTGACAATTACTGGCGATGCGGAGAACGTAGTCAAAGCCCGAATGCTGCTGGAGCAGTTACTAAATGAGAGTGGTGCGAGTGGTAGACCGAAGACTGCATCATCTTCAGGGCCAGTAATGACAGTTTCTAATTCAGCTGCTGCTGCAGGTACAGACATATTTGACATGATGCTCCCAGCGAATAAAGTCGGACTTGTCATCGGCAAGGGCGGTGAGACCATAAAACGTCTTCAAGCAGAGAGTGGCTGCGTCATGTTTGTCGTTCAAGATGGTCCTTCTCCAGGTGAAAAGCCTCTGCGTATACAGGGCACACCACAGACCATAGAGCATGCTCGGGTGCTTGTCAATGAATTATTGAATTCATCAGACATGCCGCCAGGTGCCAATGCACCAGGCTTGCGAATGGATGTGCCGCGCGAGGTCGTGGGTGTTGTTATTGGCCGCGGTGGTGAAAACGTGCGCCGCATCCACAATGAGACAGGCGTGCGCATCCAGTTTCAACCAGACTCCGGCGAGAAGACCAGAACCGCTGTGCTAAGTGGACCAGCGGAAAACCTTGCTGCGGCGCAGAAAATCATCTTGGATGTCATGTCTGAGCGAAATCAGGGAGGATCCGGTGGAAGCAGTATTCCCAATGCTGGTGGCTCTGGAGGTAATGTTCAGGAAGTCCAGTTCCCTGTCCCAGCCAACCAGTGTGGTCTTGTTATAGGCCGGGGTGGTGAGACTATTCGGCAACTGAAGCAGCAGAGCGGCTGTCATATTGAGCTGAACCGGAATATCGTCACCAGTCCAGACTTGAAGGTATTCATCTTGCGTGGCAGTGATTCCGCCATTTCCCATGCACAGCAGTTGATCCGCGAGAAGTGCAATGCTGGACCCGGTGGTTCCAATCAGCAGCGATCAAATGATCACGGAGGTCCGATGGGCGGGCCACCTCATATGGGTGGTCCTCATATTCGTCCACCCGGTGGTCCTATGTTTGGAGGTCATGGTGCTCCTCCAATGTATCCAAACCCGTACGCGGGCGGTGTTCCTCCAGGCGCAGGTCCAGGAGGTGCAGGTCCAGGCGGAGCACCCGGTGCTGACGCGTCGTCTGCTTGGGCCGCGTATTATCAGCACTACTACCAGCAGTACAGTGCCCAGCAGGCAGCGGCGGCGGCGGCAGCTGCTGCAGCAGCTGCCGGTGGAGCTGGCCCTGGAGCTGGCGCTGCTCCGTCCACACCTGCCAGCGCAGCATCCATGGCTGGATCGAGCTCAGCGGCTGGAGCCGCAGCAGCGGCAGCAGCAACCCACGGCCTGTCTACAGCGGAAGTGGAAGCTCAATGGCGTGAGTACTACCGGCAGCTGGGCTATGCCTACCCTGGCGCGCAAGCATAAGCAGTGGACGACGCTGCTGTTGTTACTGCTGGCCATCTCATGTGCCTTTCTAGGCCACGTCTGCTCAGGTGAGCGTGAAGTCATGTTAGGACTGTGCTTCAACGCTCGTGTGTGTGTGTATGTAGGTGCGGGTGGTGGCCTGGTGTGGGTCTCTTTTGCTGGTTAGTCCACCAGCTGTGTATAGATTGGAAGGTACGGACTCTTTCATTTTGTATTTCAGTTTTTGTGACCTTCCTCTTTTCTTGCTGTTGTGGTGCCAGCAGCTCTGCTGCCCTCAGTGAACTGTGTGGTCTCTCCTGTATCGATGTATAGAGATATGTATTCTAGGTGGTATGGTTTTGTGCGTTTTCTTGTTGTTGTGGGTGGCCGTGACGGCATTGTCGTTGTCGTTGCTGCTGCTGCTGCTGCTTTCATTTTGTTTCGTCTTTTTATCCCAGTTAACTTTTTATGTCTATTTTGTATATCGGTCTGTTCCTATGTAAGCTCTGGATGCCAAGGCAGTTCATCAGTCATATAGTGACTTTTCTCTGCAACGGCAGACAGCCATTCTTATCCGGTGTCCTGTCAAGCGCTTGCTTGATGACATTGCAGTGCTGGAAGTGGTTGCGTTCTACTGCATTACTTCTTTGCCTAGGGCCCCCTCTACCTCTCCCCAGTGATCTTACGCTGCTGGTGGTAGGTGGGTTGTGTTTTGATAAATAAAAAAAATCTTCATGAGACAACACTTAGCACATATTCGTGATATGGCCTATTTTTTGAGAGAACAGCAAAAATTAGTTGGCCTGTTTGGTGATTTCGCTCTCAGAACCTATCACTATAAAGCACGCAGAGAATACCTCATAATGTCCTCAATCTCCGATTTCCCTTAGAACAGCTCGCATAGCTCAATATCTTGACGCCTACTTCTTCATTTCCATTGATGACCATCACAGCCAGTGCATGTGACAGTTCGTTATAAACTCCTTCACTGTCGCCTTTCGACACTGATTCACAAAACAGATCAGCATGGAATTCATCAGTCGATGTTATTCTCTATTTTTAGACGTTTTCCTCGATTCACAGAGAACTTGATTCGACTCAGCAATAGGCTTGAACACTTCTACTTCTTACACTAAATTATTGCCTCGACTTCGAAACACATGCAATGCTAGCATCCATGAAACATTTCCATCTTGAATCATATTTCATCCGCCCGATCATCATCAATTCCGCTGATCGCTTTCCTCGTAATTACGCCTACTCGTAATGTTCCCGAATTCCACTGCTAGGTAGTCTCCCCGATATCATCCTATGGTCTAAGAGATAACCCCACCACTTCTTTTGTACTGCAAACCATTGACACGTTTTGGTGTATCTCTAAGTACTCTACTCTTTCCCGGCGTATTTTGTGCCATATGTTGACAGCACGATTTGTGGTACAGTTGGGTGGGCTTCTTTTTGCTATATTCTCAAGTCAGTGGTAGAGATTGTCACCGGCAATGAGGTTGAGTTTGTTCCTGTGCAGCATTGATGGGATTTTGGTAAAGCCAGCTCCAATTTTGTAGCGATCTGTGGGAAGGTGACCCGGTATCAGTGCTGTCTAGAACTGGACCCACTGTTGCTCATTGTGATGTGTTTTGCTAGCCGTCGATCTTGCGTTCCATTATCTACCAGGTTTTGTTCTAGGTATTTGTCCTGTGCATGTTCATTTGTACTAGACGGATGCGAGGGGTCAAACTTCATCACGGTTTTCAGTGGCAAGTCTTGAATAACCACCGTCAGGTTTTGTTCTAGGTATTTGTCCTGTGCACGTTCACTTCTGCTAGACGGATGCGACGGGTCCAACTTCATCACGGCTTTCAGTGGCAAGTCTTGAATAGCCACGGTCAGGTGTAGTCTCGGGAAAACTTAGCATTGGCGGTATAACTATGCTGGCAGCTATTAGAGCCCTTGGGTAAGAAGAACTGGACTTAGATGCACCAGTGCATGTAGTCACCATCAATTAATGTGATATGCTTTACGTAGGTGGTGACATTGTCGTGCTCTGTAGGGCGTGTTGGTCTTGTACAGAAAATAAATGAAAAATCGTTTTACTTTCTCAAGCATGGTCAAAGGGAAATACTCGTACATGTACAGTAAATTGAGAAAAATAAGTCGCACCATTCTCAAGTCAGATGAAAAAATGGAGATAATCTTTATCGTTAGAAAGCTGTATTACTTTAACTGGTGCGCTGAAGATGATGACAACATACTGCATGCTATGTGTGGAGAGAATGTTACGTTTATGCTGCGCTGTTCTGCCTATGGTTTTCCAGTGGCTATAGTGCATCTCGTAATTATATCGTTGCGATCTCAAAGCTCAGCTGCTGTCCGCAAATGACAATGTGCCACCAGCGAATAGAAGGTTGGGGGGGGGGGGGGGGTTCGCTTTAATTTTAGTGTTCCTGTGAATGCATGAGAGTGGGCCTGTGCCTGTGGCCTGCCGATACGGCGGTGGAATGGCACCTATGTGTAAAACATGGCTGCAGCCTTTTCGCGCGGCAACTTGTCCCATATTTGGCAAGTACAGCCAGCTCTAGTACATTCGTGAGCATAAACGTACATAGTTCAGGACCTTTTATGCAGGGCTGGTATCACAGTGTGTACGGCTGAAGTGGACTTGCCCCACAAGCCAAACGGCGGGAAGGTGATGCATAGCTGCCATTGTCCAAGGGTGTCACTGATAGTGCAGCATGTCCAGTGTTGCGTTGAGTAGCTGCTCCTTTTCAGAAACGGCCGACGTCAGCGCCAGCTGATACAGCACGGGATGCGATACCTCTACTCCCAGGCTGGCGAGCTCCGTCTGAACTGTGTCAACAAGACCTTGTACATGGTCACCTGGCAAGTTACATTTGGTGTCCGCTGCTGCTGCACAGCAGGATGTGGTGTTGCATTCTCCGAGCATTGGTCTACCCTGCTGAACATCGTCCGTTCTCAGCGCGTGAAGCGCATTGGCAGCAGCCATAGGCTTTTCGCCGTTGGCCTTGGCTTGCTGGGCATGTGCACAGCTGCCGTGCTTCTCCGTGTTCCCATGGGTCTGTTGCACGGGGTGGCCGCTGCCCTTGTTGCTGGGTGCGTGCTCCAGCCACTCTCCAGCCTGGCACAGGAAAGCACAGTAGAGGGTTCAACAAGATCATGGTCAACAAACTGGAGCATCCATTGTGAACGTCCATGGATATTCGAAGACAAACAAAACTGCCGCATGCCTTTTATGGTAACGCCTTTTAACAAACCTTTGAACAACTAACTTACCATATGGAAAGATCCACACGATTGTTGATTCTACTTTGAAGTACATGTACGTGTGCCGATATAATGTAATTAGTAGGTAATAATTACCCAATGCTGTAGCCGGACAGCTAGCTGTTTCGGCCATCAGTACAGCTACGAGCTCTATGTAAGCCGAACTACCGGCCATGGCGTAAAGGTGACATGATAGACATTATGATAGTTCACCGCTCCATCTTATAGTTCTGTAAATACATGTATCTATTAAACTGCAGCTACCTTTGTTGTCACAAGTCCTGTACCCACGCCACACATTAAAGCAGTGACACACGTGCCAACTACTTGTGTAAGAATGTATTGCAACGTGCATCAGGTGTAACTGTGAACGCGGTGCTCTAGTTAGCGACTTTGTCGCATAAAGTGTACTTGTATGTTGGATGATTCTCGTTTTCAGCCAGTAGCTGCATGGGCTGCATGGTGTGCTTGAATAGCCACTGATCGGTCGAGGTAGAAACGTGCTATGCATTCCGCTGCACTGGCCAGTGGAAGCCAATCACAAATTCAAGAAGCCTGCTGCAAATTGCATGGTACAGGTGAGTTGTGAAGTGAGGTGGGTTGAACAGCTGCACATCAGCATCAAATACTGCTTTGCTCTGGGCGCTGAACGTGCGTTAGCGAGCGGATTTCGCTGGCCAGTACTTTACGTGTGATCGGAGTTACATGGCTGTGGTTGGTGTCCACTTGGCAATGTCCTTGCTGGATTGCGTATTTCAACAACAGTTCCAGGAACTACTGCCCAATTTGGATTGTTTCTACTTCAAGTACATCATGAATACACTCTTTGCACGCCATCTTCAGCTCTTACCTCTTTGAAAAATCCATCTACGTCGTATTCGACCACACTGTAGCTGTCTTCGATGTAGCCTTCTCGAGTGTTCAACGCGTGCTCAGAGCTATTTTCCAGGAAGGTCAGCACAAACTGTACAGCAATGTTATCTGCGCCCTGTTGACAGTGAGGCCAGAAGAAATCGTTAATACGTAGGCCTGAAACGAGGCGAACGGATACATGTTATAATATAGAAACTTTTGACTGTGGAATTTGGAAGGAATGCGAATTATATTTATTCATCTGTTATGCTGTTTGTCGTGCATAAAAATAGCTCTTAACCCCCAGCACAGCCAGGCCACAATCAGACAACCATTAAAGCATGCGTGCGTGCTTTTTCTTTTTTAAAGACTTAGTACCCATTGCCTCCCACGGCTGTTCAAGTGCAGCCACTTAACAATATGGCGTCGTTCGGTGCGATTTATGTAACGTTGTACGAATAGTGCAAATATGCGATGAGTTTGCGTTTTTGGAAGAAACTCATGTCACGCCTCGCGTGGTTCCACGATTTGGGAAGCAAAACCAAGAGAAAAGTTTTGAAAGCGCTCGAGCGAGATACTCGACTTTTTGGCAATTTGAGAGAGAAAGAGGGTGCAAAGGCGTCCTGGCCTGCCCAGTAAGCTGTCTTTCCTCTTCAAACTTGCTCAAACTACTCCTGACAGCCTGGAGATTGACCTCGCCAGTGATTGGCAGCCTCTGCTTGGCGTGCGCGTACAACATTCAAGTTAGACACTTCGTACTCGTTCAACGCACAAAAGGATAGATATCACAATTCCCAGCTCACTTGGCCAGCTGCTGTCTTCTTCTACAATACACCACATGCCAACTAAGCAATTTCCAGCAGGAAACTTGGCAGCCTTCTAGACTCAACAGCAAATAAAGGGCCACGCCATTTGCCTTCCAAACCAAGAGAAAACGGGCTCCAGACCCGTCCCGAGTTTCTAGAAGCTCATGCACGGTTCGTAATGACACTTGAGGAAGGCAACCAGAGGATAGTCCTCTACCTGGGAAAAAATCGATCTAGCCTGGGAAAAAATCGGGAAGGGCTTCTCGGAGCCGAGTTTGTCAGCGACGACATAAGGAGTACTTCAGAACGAAGCCAAAGTTGCACGACGCAGAACTGTTTCTTGAAGGAAATGCAGGCATGTGAGGTACGAGCGGAAAGCTTGAAACAAGACGGTTATGATCCGCGTGTTCCCCGGGCTATCCGGGCTAACTAGTCTCCAAAATCCAGGGGAAACCATGGCCTACTCGTGTTCTGACGATTTGAAAATTCAAAATTTCTAGCCATTGAAGCCCAATCGAGACTTTCGGCGGCCATATTGTTAAAGGGGAAGTGCATCGATTTTTCGAGTAGGGTCCAGAAGAAAGACAATTTGATATCGGTTCGAATGGTATATCTCTCGCTTCCATACGACAAGCCAAACTTGCCAAATCGCCAATTGTATACTCACGTTGCCATAGCGACCAGCGCAGTGATGACGTATGAAAGGCTTAGCTCCACCGCAGAGAAGGTCGATCACTGCAGAATTGGTCATTTTCAATTGTCTTACTGTATTCACGATGTGATAGAAGTGCTGCGTTCAATGCTGCTAGTGCCGTGAACTGTTTATCGGCCTTCTCCTGCATTTCCCTAGGCTGACTGTGCCTAGGAAACTGTTTCCTCTAGGAGAAGATGCTTGGTATTCGCCATCTCTCCTGAGACATTTTTAGCATACTTTCAAACCTACGACATTATTTCATTCGTCAATCTCCACCACCCGTCGTCTCACCTGGCTTCAGAAGGTTGCGAGAGATAGGAGAGTCGCCAGGAAGCATCACATCCATCTTCAGGAAGTGGAAAGAGCAAACGGCATGGTCCTTGGTTGGGGGAAATGCTGAACGTTTGATTTGTCCCAACCAAGATTTCAGCATTTTGTTCGTCACTATTTTCGCTTGTCTGCTGATGTCTCCGCACTCCAGCTTTCTCCTGTCGGTGTCACGTCCCAGGACACAACCGAGAGGACTACTAACAAACAGTTCACTACACTAACAGCATTGAACACAGCACTTCTTTCACTTCGTGAATACAATAAACCAATTGAAAATGACCAATTTCTGCAGTGGTCGACCTTCTCTGTGGTGGAGCTAAGCCTTTCATACGTCATCACTGCGCTGGTCGCTATGGCAACGTGAGTATACAATTGGCGATTTGGCAAGTTTGGCTTATCGTATGGAAGCGAGAGATATGCCATTCGAACCGATATCAAATTGTCTTTCTTCTGGACCCTACTCGAAAAATCGATGCACTTCCCCTTTAAGTGGGCGGAAATCGCACAAAAAAAAACAGCCGTGCTCCAGTCTTGTCAGTATCGAGGAGCGAATGGGTGGTGAGAGGTTACAGTGCACTCTTAGAGGGTATGCCGATGATACTCATGACAAGTGGGGGAAAGGTCTAGCGAAGAATCGCGATGAGAAACTATTACTTCAAAGTAGAATGACGCCATGGGTCTGCATGACTTGAGTTTGTACAAGAAAAAAGGGCAGTGCACGACCAATTCCTCAGTCAACAGGGACACAATAATTATATTATTAATTTTGACAAATGCACCTGTTTGGTTTCATGGGGTGAAATAGATGTTAAGTACTGAAGTATTTATGAAAGATCCCTACCCTTGCGCTTTGTACTGTTAAGCTCCTCTGTCTCATCGCTTTCTCCAGCCGCCGGCTGACCATTTCTGCACGGAATGTCTAAAGCACAGGCCGAAAGACATTACGTCACATTAGTAGTGTTATCCAGGTGCAGTACTCTACACAGACTGTGCGACTCTCTGCACTGCTTTGACTAGCTGAGCTGGAGTGTGTAAGGCCACAAGGCACAGTGCAGGCCTGTCTACTTGCACACATCACACCTGGGTCTGTAAGGTCAGAAGTGTACTGCAGTACTAGTATACTGTCGCGTGCCGAAGAAGGGGGGGGGGGGGGCAGGGCTCTAGCCTAGCCCGTTCTTATTTTTTGCGAACACAGAAGTTTCGTTCTTATTCGATGATACCGTCCTACATGTACATGTACATTTAGGCAGAGTTATACTACTGGCTGTACATTTTAGTGCACATTACGGTTTCCGTTCTTGTCTCCAAAGAATCCAGCATAGCCTGTTCTCAAAAATTGGTGTAATTCTAGCCTGACCATTCTTCGGCGGCCAACAGTACTGTAGTGCAGACTGTGGATGCCAGTGCATGGTCATCACACTTCTTGGCTACCTATATCACCAACTGGCCATGCCACGTTACTCTCCCCAACTGGATAAATACTTTCCCCGTGCAACTGTTGCAGCACTGCTTGAAGAGGTTAGAGGCGAGCGCCAAATTTGGCGAAATGAATTTTCTGGCTGTATGTCATCAACAGGTCAAGGAGCTCCTTCTTGCAAAATTCACTCACCAGATCCGGTCAGAACTTCAAAATTGCCTTCCAATATCGGATTTAACTTAAGTACAACACGCACACTTATAATGAGCCCTGGTTTGGACATTTCTGAGAGGTGAATTCAAGTAGATATGCCACATTTCGCACTCAAACCTCTGACCTGTATTTTTACTTTGAGGTAATAGAATGCACTCAAATTGGGCCAAGCCCTCTGGTCAAATCACGGTGTACCTGCTCTCGGCTTACCTGGCATTCCGCTGGATCGAGATGGTACTGCAAAGCACCAAGACAGAGGTTCGCAACGGAGCACATTGTTCCCTGGGCCTGTACAAGGAAACAAGATTCACGTTGTAGACTGCGGGTAGGCTCGCTGCATGCATGATTATACCAAGAGTATATTTGCCCCTGAGAGTGTGCAACTCCTGATACCCCCTTAATGGGGTTCGCCGATGGTCAAACTCACATCATGTGGTGTAGTGTTCCCGCTGTACGTTCCCAGCCCGTTTTTAGCGAGCAGCCAGGAGTAATAATAAAACACTCCCTGGCAGAAACACACTGGAAGTATGAAACTACGCATGCATGATCATGGCAGATATTCGGATTGCGAGCAAGCTATCCTTTGTAGTACGTAGTACGAAAGGTACCTAAGACACGTAATGGGAGTTTTCACCGTCGGAAACTCCATAATTATCCAGCACATTCTTACTTATGTACTCTTGATTATACCAGACACGTTCACATCAGTATGAATGAGGTGAGCATAAGCGTGCTTTACACTGATCAAAGGCGCTGCCTTCGACTAGTTTTTGCATTCAACCATCGACATCTTCAACTGTGACAATGTCTGGACACTGCCACTCGCTACGCTCTAGAACACCAGGATGCAAGCTCATTGGGAGCCATGCAAGCCAGTGCATACATCAAAATAACTATAACCATGAAGGAAAGCTGGTCGATTAACTCATTTTAAACTTGATGCTATTGCCCCAAGCATAGTGACCAACGAGATGCTTGCATCCCGTTTCTTGACCAGATAGGGACCACACTCCCTGACTTTCTTAGCATGCTGACCGCTTATTTGTATTGAGCATTCCCAGTTATTACAGTAACAGCAGCTGCAATGACGACAACAGCGACGACGACGACGATGACGACGACAACAACAACAACAGTAACAACAACAACAACAACAACAACAACAACAACAACAACAACAACAGCAGCAGCAGCAGCAGCAGCAGCAGCAGCAGCAGCAGCAGCAGCAGCAGCAACAACAACAACAACAACAACAACAACAACAACAACAACAACAACAACAACAACAACAACAACAACAACAACAACAGCAGCAGCAGCAGCAGCAGCAGCAGCAGCAGCAGCAATAGCAACAACGACAATACAAGAACAGCACCAGCAGGAGCACCAACAGCAGCAGAAACAACAGCTCTCTTGCACTATTAATCATCCAACACACAGCTGAAGTGTGCACTTTAATTCCATAGAAAACCAGAATGATCTTCTACTAACCATTCTAGACATGAACTGAATGCACTGCACAAGAACGTCTTCCAGAGAATTCTGAAGTGGCAGCATGCCAATGAACTCGAAGCTACTGAAGCATCGTGAAATCAGCCGCCGAAACAAGGCTTCTAGCTTTCCCATGAAATTCTGCAGAGAATATGGAGTCAATCGACATCAACAGCAAAATCAAATCAGAGTATTATTCTTTTACAAACCTATGGCTTACTCCAGCATAACAATGCTTAAAATAATCCACTGATCAGGTGTTCTCAGAATCCTTCCAGAGTTAGTTCTAGTGCCACAAAAAAGTTGAGTGACAGCACCAGTGAAGGTCCGTGGCTCGCCATACTCTGCCATCCATTCGCACTTTCTCCAGGCCAACACGGAGACTCGGCCTAGATTAGACATAAGAACTATTACAATGAGCTACTCACCTGCTTGAAGGTCTGGGTGATGGCCTGAGTGACATCAGGACGAGAGAAGGCCTGCAAGCGGAGTTAAACACACCAATGGACTGTGGCTGTCAATCAATCGTGGGTCAAAACCACTAGTGGGTGGACATTTTCATTCAATACCTAGGCTGTACAGGGATGGGCTTGAATCCGGTACCCGACCGAAAAAGAATAGATTGAGCTGCGTGCTTTTCTCCTCATTGAACAGTTGGACCTCTCTTATCCAGACCCCCAATATAATTCAGACATCTCCTGCAGCAGTCAATCCTAAAGATCTCTTCCTTTTCACAGCAGAGTCATCTGTATTGCTTCACTGCACAAAAGTCATAGTGTTCCACTCCTGTTGGGCTACGCTAGGGAATGGTATCGATCCCCTCAGTTTACGTGTTCCCAAATCAAGAGAATAGCGTGTCATACTCATTTTTACTCACATTACTTATATCTTGAGAATCTAGGGGTTCCGTTCACAGATGTTGCGTCACTAGGCTTTTGGTCCACATTTGTTTGTGATCAAACGTGGAGATGGAAACAATTTCGCTATCATTGAGCTCACTACAGTAAGATCGGGCGCCGAAGAACACTTCGCCAAACAACACGTAGGCTGGAAAATGGCATAAATTTACAGTCCATTTCAAAACTATAGACGCGCAGTGTTTTTGAAATATTTCAAATTTGGCTGGAACTGTTTGAGAATAGTTTTCGGAATATTGCTCAGGTCCGCTCCACAATTACTCTCATATAGTTTCTAAACGATTGGATAACAGACGCCCAATTTGGGAAAAATTATGCACAAAGTGATCACAGATTTTATGTGGTATAGATGCTGGCATAACGGTTTTTGCCTAGGTACACGTCTATAGTTTTGAAATGGACTGTAAGAACAATTCAGGCTAGATCTGCAGATTTAAAAGAACGCATGTACTGTTTTCTACCTGTTTTCGACGTGGCGTGATGACTTTGTATGATGCTCTCCATAAACGCGGAATAAGAACAAAACAACTATCATTTGAACATTTTAGAACAATGACAGGCAGCGCCCCTAGCCCCCGCGTTCTTCAGCGCCCGATCTTCCTGTACAGTTGTGTGTCAGTTATCCGGCAGCCTCGGCACCGGATACTGTAGGATAAATTAATATTCTGGATAACTGAAGCTACATTGCCATAATTATTGTGTTCACACATCAAAAAGACTGTTGAAACATGATTTTTACTGTAATTTTGATGCTCTGTTGCACCTATCAACCTGAGACAGTTGTAGTGCTCATCTATATACTCTAGTAGACAGAATTGTTTATAAAACTGCAAAAAGGCAAAGTTCATGATGTTCACTGTCCACATCAACTTGAAGTAGGATTGAACATTTGTAGTGTATGCGCTGTCTGTGTGCTTTTAGGTAACATACTTTGCCGGATAATTGAACACCGGATAAGTGCCACGTATAGAAAGCGAGCTTCCAGCAACTTGAAGTCAGCAACGCCTACGTAAAGGGTACTTGCCAGTTTGCTACGGGTAGAGTCATTACTAACCTTTTTCAGTGCTGTAAATCCATTCGGTTTGGGTGCAACGGATGGTACACAGGAAAATACCAAGGTTATACACACAGCAGTGAAGAACTCCATTGCTTCATCCTCTTTGCACGCCATGCACAGCTCACCGACAAAGTACAATGGTAGCACTGCCCGCACGGGAAGACGGCCATCGCCGTCCACCGCAGCACCGTATGCTTCAATGACGGAAGCGAGCATGGCATCAAGGCCACCAGTAGTGTCACCACTCAACCAAACCCGGCAGCCATCAGTGAATCCTGCGGGCAGCAGTTGTTCAGATTGAGGAACAACGCTATTTTGGCAGGCTAACATGCCAAACCCTGGCTTCGTGGAGAGGGCTGCCTCACTGTAATCACTGTCTTTGTAGAGCTTGCTACTGTTGATCGAATCCACGAAGGAGACTGCCACCTTCTCCCAGTGGGGACTACCATTGGATGCATTGATTAGCTCCTGGTGGGCCATGGATTGGAGGTAGAACTTCGTGTAGGTAATAGAGGGGTCGAATGGATCAACAAACACCTCCAGATGATCCCATTCCTGTATATTGGCGAGTACTTTCTCAAGGACATCCACACTTGTGCTGTGCTCCTCGACGCGCCAGAGTAGTGCACCATACTCTAGTTGCAAGACGCACTCTTCTCCCGGGTTGACGCTTGTGCTACCGCTCTCCAACGCCGACAGCAGATACGAAATAGCCGACGACCAGTCATGGTGCAGTGCGAAAGAGCTACGGCTCAGCCAAATCAGCAGCCTGACTTTGGACTCTGCGACGTCGGTGGACGGTGGCGCTGGGTGATTCACCAAGCCCTTCACAACCGGAAATAGGGATGAGAACGTTTTCAGCATCCTAGCAGGGTCATCTTCACTTATGACACATAGTAATCGAAGGACGTAAGTCATTAGAAGGGAACACAGATGCTCATCTCCATAAAGTCTGCAGTCCGGTGAACCGACGGATATCGAGTTACAGCCAAGTTCATCATTGAGCACTTTCTGCACCAGAAGAGGAACAGTTATCATGGCTGTGACTTCAGGTGTATAGCTGACCTCTATTAGCCCTACTCCTTCCAGTTCTTGAAGTGCTAACTGACGTTCTTCGCTGGCTTGGGTGCAACTGCAGAAGAGGAAATTCCCGCAGCCGGCAAGGCTCGAGACTGCACAAACGGCCTCTTCTCGTTGGCAGAAAATCCACCACGGGATGTCACACGTTTCGCCAGCAAGCAGTGCTAGGGCGTGGAGCAGTATTGTTGCCTTGCTTGAAACATGCCTCAACAGCATTTTCACGGTGGTGGACAGGCAGCGACTGAAGCGACTTTCACCATCCTGGGTTTGGATGCTTAGCAGTGTGGCGGTGTCCTGCGATGGGCCACTAAACATCCTATGCACCGCAAGCATGTCATGCTTCTGTCGCAACAGGCGGGCAGTCAGCTCCAACGCCAGAGGGCAGTTCTGTAGCTGATCTTCGATGAAATGTATTGACGCTGGATTAGCGGCAAAGGCTGTGAACGCTGCAGTCGGACAGCGCTGGGCTAGGTAGCGGAGGCTATCCTCGGTGGCAAGCGGTGGAACCTTGTGCACAGCAATACAACGCAGAGCTGATGTCCATAGCTCAGTGTTCTGAATGAGCGATGTGAGAATGAACGCATGTTTTCGATAGACCTCGTGCGGAAGGCGTAACACTGACGCGATGAGGCTAGGGTCACGCACATCATCAATAACTAGAAGAAGACCTTGACTTTCTCTCAGAAACTCAATGCCAGCCGCCTGGCTCAGACTGCCCTCTGCTGATGATGCAGCCTTCACGTGTTGTCCAAGTCGTGCTATGCCATCACACAGCGAAGCAGCCGACGTTGCTGATATCCAGTGTTGCTGTGGGTATGCTTGCCGTAGTGCGTGTGCCACCTCCACTGCTACAGCCGTCTTGCCCACCCCAGCGCGGCCGCATAGCACCACGGCCCCAGGCTGAGTGGCAAGTGATGAGACAACGCTGTTCACGAGATCGCTACGCCCAAACAGCATCTTAGCTCTTGGCTGGAGTAGGTGATGTTGCTCTGATATCGCTAGATTTGAGATTTCTTCTTCCAGGGAGAGATTTATCTGTATGTCTTCGCTGGTACCGGACAACTTCAGCATCAGGACATGTTTAGCTACGGATGAAAGCTCTGGGCTCGACGTTGCGCCAGTTAGAATTTGAATCAACTGCCGAGCCTTCTCCAGAAGCTTCACCAAAGTGGTGACAGGGAGTTGAGAGCAGGATGTGTGGCACACTTGATTGCGCAGGCCATTCTTACCGCATAGCTGGTTCAGGCGTGACTCCAGCTGATCTGCAAAGGTCCTGGCCGCCTGTGTGTTCGACTTCAAGTTCTTTTGTGGATGGCAGTCGAGAAGCGCGTCGAAAACCCGCTTCTGCTCGGGTGACATCTTTTGCTTGGACTTTACTGGCTGAATTATGTTTTCAACAAGGGACGTGTGCACCGACAGAATATCTGCTGTCCTCTCGCCGGTCTCGGTCTCCGTCAAGAAGCTAAACCTGCTGTCTGCGTGGACTTCCATCGAGTGCAGGCCTTTGGCCAGGAATGGCGAAGCTGCGCCAGCAACACTCTGAAGCAACCTCATTCCGATCAACCGAACTGCTACACGCTTTGGTACGCTGATGGTTCTCGCTTGAAACGGACAGCGCTCTTGCACTTTTTGCAGGTCACTTCCGCTGTGGGGACAGAGGTCACGCACCGTGTCCACTGCGCACGTGATCTTCTCCAGTTCATCCCGCCAGGAGCCGGCCGCTGTAGTAGATCTACCAGTAGTGTCTACGCCGCTGCCATAGAACATGTCACACAGGTCAACCATCGCCAACAGAGACGATAGAGTCTCCTTGCTGGACAGCGAGCGATAATTCTTGAACAGCTTGTTTCGAAACATCATGATGGAGTTGAGCAATGCCCTCCGGCGGTCCTGGATCTCCTCCAGCTCAAACTGTGACAAACGAAAGCCATTACAGGTGGCGTTGCTGAGACCTTTATCACCTTTGGGCGAAGTGCAGGTTAGTGAATGAAGTGAAGGCATACCATCTCCACTACGATTACCACCGCGATGTAAATCACTCTCGGAGCAGACATCATCGGACGTTTTACTAGTGAGACGATTGTTCAACTTCAGCATCAACGTGCAAATCTGGTACAAGTCGAAATTTTCAGGCTCCCCGGCACCTTTTGCGGCTCTTCCATTGCTAGGCACATGGCATCGAGCCTGCTCTCCCAGAAGCTCCACAGTTTGCTGTCGCCAACGATCTCCGAACTCTCGCTTTAGGACAGAGAGTAGGAAGGGAGAGCCAATACGTTCGAAGGAATCCACCGCAAGAATAGCGCAGCATAGTAGGCCATCGTGTCCTCCCGTCAAAGACAGTGTGCTGCTTGCATCTGCCATGGGATTTGGAATAGCGGTCTACAATTACATGTAGTTGGAGGATGGTGATGAAGAACTGGAGTGGTTATTCCATAACCGATGACACTGGTCTTATACCGGTACTTGCACAGAATACCATCACATTCTGCCCAGGCCCGCGCCCTGCGACGCCATGGTCAACACAAAAGCCTGTACATATTATTGTGTTGGTGACACCCCAGCGTCACCAACACACAGGAAGGAAAGTCTGCGCCACAGCTACCATCTGCGGGCCGTGTGTGCGCTCATACTACGAAGTTACGTCACCTGCATGGAACAGGTCTAAGGATATAACACGTCTGGCGCAACATGCTGTAAACCACATCCCGTCCCCAGTTAGCACCTCTGCTGCAGCTATCACCTGCATACAGAGATTACACCTATGGCCGGAAGCTGCAGCGTGATGTTCTACCCGTACGGGCCGTAGATCCTCCAACCAAGGAGTCGTGAAAGCCCAGGGTTTTCGCGACTCCCTGCCTCCAACCAGTTACCATGGTTGCCTATGTTCTACAGTCATGCAGGTTCGACCAAACCATCTTATTCTCCCCTATCTACAAAAATGTAGCCAGCGTGTGTAGATCTACGTTCCGGGATTCTTGAACACGTGACCTTACTGCCTCAAAGTAACGTTCAAGACCAGAGTGCATCATGATTCAACATGAACCAGCGTGTGTGAATCTGCATATCATGCATGGTAGGTCGTGGACAGGGATATTCGCCCTTTACATCATTTTTCATGAGTCATGGAAGCTGCAAGCCACTGGACATGGTCTGGAGTCTGCTGTTAACATGTTGGCTGCATGAATATTACTTGATTCTGCTGTTGGATGGCATGAATACAATGTTTTATACCAGTTGTGACTTGTACCCTACCTTGCCAAAACATGACGGAAACAACTTTTGCGGTTTCTCCAACACTCCCGCATAATGTACAGCAGTAAGATGCTTCATGGACCTGTATGGTGTGTGTCTGACATACCCACATGCTAGTGGACCAACACAGGCGGGTAGATCTACTGATGCTGCGATGTTGCTCAACACAAATGCACGACGTGCCGAGCTTGTTTTTTTGCGAAACTTACAAGAACATTCCAACAAAAAAAGTTCACCCTCTATGCAATGTACTTTCCCCCTCCCACCCCCTGCATCTACTCCTCCCCATTTTCCCGACCCTTGTGTCTACTCCTCCCCACTTTTCGGTGCACTGAAGTGTCGCTGAAGCCGAGGTCTCAGATCGGCAGAGACACTCCAGTTTCACCACCACAGCCGCGACTGCAGCTATTTCTATCATGCAGCACATGTGTATTCTGTTCTCATGGTTTCTGGTTTCTTGTAAAAAATCTCGTTGCATTCCTATTCCGAATGTTGCGTTCCATGCAGCTCTTCCCAATGCGTCATTCCGCGAAAAGAACTCTGTGATAATGGAGTTCTTTCCCAATACGTATGGACTCAATATGGCATTGAGAGTATCGCTCTCTTCATTTCATCGCCAATCCAACAGGGGAAAACAAGATAACCACAGCCCTAGGATCAATACTGGTCTACTTTCGGTTGTCTTGCCATTGAACCGTTTGTGCGGCACCGCGGGTTTTCTAATCAACCCATAAAGAGCTACGTGTATGTTTGCGTTCACAACCACCCATCTATGCCTTCTGGTTCCAACTACTAACTTCCAAGTCCGATTTTGACCGGAAGTGCGCTACCAAAATAATAGTGCCATTGTGGAAATCCACACAGATGTTTACAGCATGGAACAGATGTCAGGACAAGTGTTGCATCGGGTTTTCCGTCCGTTGCTACAGGGTTCAGTCAACACAGACCAAACGCACCGGTCCCTGCTTGCAATCCCAGCCTGGATGTTCCAAATATGACCGTTTGGGCTCAGTTACACGCACAGTCATGACGTACATGTACAGTTGTACATGTCATGACATGTACAGTTGTACACTGTATAATTATTCATTACCCACATTACACAACCCAGTCTGATGGACAGACTACTAGTAGTATGATTAAATTTTAATATAATTATGTCATGTATACATGTCACGTGCGAATAGTAAAGGACATGAACATCTCTTCTGAGTCCTGACCCCACATACATTTCACACTCACTTTGCGTACTTTCTCTCTTCTCCTAGTACATACACAAATTAATAGGAGATCCCCCAGATAGGCGCTGGCCTTTGGGTAATCCTGAAATAAAGATAATTTGGAAAGAAAAGGTGTCAGCACCGACGCAATCCACACAGTCAAGTTAGCCAATTTTGCAACCAAACGTTTTCGTTCCCTTCTTATCATGGGTAAGTACATGCACCACCCTCAAAGATCAGATCAAGGCGCAGATGCAGCTCCTAAGGCGGTGGGAGGTGAGTAGATCAGACCCACCACCAAAGTGGTCAAAGAGCGAAATCCCATTCGCTGCATCCACGCTTCCCTCGTGCCAGGCCACGAGTTCCCAGTTAAATGTGGGTCGCAGCACGGCGGGAAAACCCTCCGCTTCCAAGCAGGACTTGAACCTGGTACCCTCTGTTTCTCAATCATGGTCTTAGACCATCCCACTATGTCTGGATGGAGAGCCAAGAATACTTGAAAGTAAATTTATAGAAAAGAAAAGGACCAAGGAACTACAAGTTACGCTATAATGTCCACTATATAAACATGACCAGGTACTAAACAATCAGCTCATGCGAAAACATTGCACGACACTGACCGACAGTACTATCGTTCTAGAACTAACTGGCTATCAGCTCTAGCACATCTTGGATGCGCATTCCAACAGCCTTCTAACTTGGAAGGTTCTAATATATGATAACATAGGAGGGGAAGTTAGTTGTAGAATGTCAGTACCGTCGGTCAGTGTCGTGCAATGTTATCGCATGAGCTGATTGTTTAGTAACTGGTGGTGTTAGTGGACATTATAGCGTAACTTGTAGTTCATTGGTCCTTTTCTTTTCTATAAATTGTTCTCCACGTAGATTATTAATAATACAGCTGCTCACATACAGCTTTGGTATCGTGAACTGGCGACACGTAGAATTACAGCAACTGGATATCTTGCTCAGGAAGAAGCTCACCAAGAAGAGATGGCATCACCCTCGGGCTGACAAAGAGAGGGTGCATTAGGTGCGTGGCGAAGGCGACCGTGGATTCCAGAGTGTGGTAGATCTACATGAATGATCCATCATCCAGATCAATAAATACATCGAGGGCCACCAAGACCACATTGCCATTGCTCTCCTGAACCAGTACCATCATGGAAAAGCTAAATACTCTGTCTCCAGTGATGCTGTGAGATTTTTGGCAAAGATTGGTATGGAGGAGTCAGCCAAATAGGAGCAGATACGCCAGGGATACCAGCGGCATAGGGAGGAGATAATTAGAAAGAAGCCTCTGCATGGCCAATTTTGGCTGATGCTTCAGGATGCTGAGCTGGATCGAGGGCTCTCCTTTACGTGATTGCGGTCTTCTGTCTTTCGTCCGGCGACGGAAATTATTGTTATGTCCATACAGGACCAGGCTGTCCCAACACGGAACTTACAAGAAAAATTTATTCGAGGAACGAGTGTATTCAACAACACGAGCTGTAGGATGTGTGAAAGGACAAGGAAACGGTTTTCCACCTTATTGGAGCATGCACGGCTTGTGCTGGAAGTCATTATGTCAATCGCCACAACAGATTAGCAAAGAATCTTCACTGGACGCTGTGCAGGAAGTATGGTGCATCGGGCATTTCAAATAAATACACAAGTCACCAACTCACTAAAGTCGTGTACAGTGCTGAAACGGATGTGTCAGTCTACTGGGAAGTGCCAATTCCAACAGCAAAAAGACCCGACATTATTATCAAGGGCAAAGATGAGGCATTATGAGGCATTGCTTGTGGACGTAAGTGTCTCTCTGGATAGGAACATCCGCCGAAAAATCTGTCGAAAAGACACAAAAATATCCAGGCCTGTGGCGTGAGGCGGAACAGATGCGGCAGGTTTGATGTCACTTCAGCTGGACTTCCTTACTGTTATACTAAAATGGTTGTCTCCTCGTCGATTATTTAAAGGGGAAGTCCGGTGAAAATTTAAATTTCACAGTTCGTAGAGTTCGGGGCGCTGAGTCGAATGGTCTTTGTCCGAGGAGGCTGCGGCCAATGGTTCGTCAGATACGCCCAATCGAACATGTGCGAATTTGAGCGCGCATCACCCAGATCCAGGTGATGACGTCACAGCGTGCAGCCAGGTAGCCACACCATCTAGTTGTGTACAAAATGGCCATATTCGGAGGGCGTTCGATTGGGGAACCGTTTGTCGCAGCTTCTTTGGACCAAGACCATTCAGCGTTACAAACACTACGTACCCTGTGATTTTCAGCTCGGTATACCTCGAGGCTATACCGTATTTTAGCCGTTTCCGAGTTGGACCTTTTCCGTCGGCATGCACTGGCGCATGGCCTCTACGGCTCTTGTCTAGCAATGCGCTGCGTGCGTGCTAGCTGTAGCGTAGTGTAGTCAACAAACTCGACTACTCATTACACATGGAACTACTCCCGCACTGCCGTGCTGGGGTAGCTAGCTACAACAAGACTCAGAAAACTAGTCAACACACAGACTTGTCATGTCCTACACTTGTATCAGTCGTATTGTACAGTCATGTAGGCAGAGAACGTGCATTTCTCCTTGCCGGTGCCGGTGGTTGTGGTTTGAGAAAGAAAATTTTAGTTTTCCGCTCCCGCCTCATTATTTTATGCTACAGCGATGAGTGCACAACCGTGAGTCGCGACAAGTCAATAGACAAAACAGGGAACAGCTCCCGGACCTAGAATTTTCAGATCCTGTAGCGTTGCGAACGAAGAGTCGTGCCCGTGGTTCAAAGAGCCTGCACTGTTCTCCAATTGAGTGGTCCAAAATATGCCAAGTTCGCACCAAAACATCACCATGTGGCAGGCTACTGGAGTGTAAGCGAATCGGTATGGAACAACATTTAGAGCACTCGCATCACTCTTCTCCATTTTGGCGACTCTGCTCTCCAGCGATCTGATAATTATTATATCAGCCTCGTCTGCAATAGCTGCTGCTTTTTCATCAGTCGGAAACTCAGTAGCGCTCACTCTTGACCGCGCGGCCATTTCTTCAGTTGAATACCGAGGTTTTCAGCCCCAGACCGAACTCATGAAGGTCAGCCATGGCTGCATCTCACTCTCACAAGGAGTTACGTCTTCGGGGTCACCTACTATCAGTCGCCAAATCATTTGAAATAGCACTGACACTATTGCTTTCACGCAGTCCTTTGACCTACAGTGTTGGCCAAATGTTTGGGCCTACCCAAGATAAAACAGGTTTCTAGGGAGAATCTTTGTATAGTGCACGAACAAAACTACTGAAGTTGGCTATCTACCGAAGAGATCATACTCTGATCCATCTTTCGAAGGCTAGATAGTTGTAAAATAAAATAAAGTCAATTTAATCGAAAAAGCGTAGGCCCAAACTTACGGCCAAAATTAAAAAACAGCAAAATCCAGGTGACTAGCTAATAGATATCAACTAAATCTAATCGAAATGATTTGTTTCCATGCTAAGAACCTATCAGTGAACTGTTTGCCCAATTTTACCACTTAGTAGGTCCTCTCTTTGCCTTGACGACAGCCTCCATGCGCGCCGGGATGGTCGAGACGGGTTTCGTGTACTTGTCCCTGCTGATCTTCCGCCACGCTGTCTTGCACACTTCCCCAGGCTGTGTTTCTGTTGATGGGACTTGGGGAACATCATGGCAGAGACAATTCAGCATTTCCCACAAATCCTCAGTCGGATACAGGTCCGGCGACTGCGTCGGCTGCCCCAGGGCGCGATATGGGCGGTCCGCCAATTACGCCTTTATCGCGTGTGCGCGCGCAAATACATCATCCAGACCGCGCAACACATCGACCATGGACGGCTGCATACTGTTCTGCAGTATTCCTTGGTATTGGTCTGCTTTCATCGCTCCGTTAACGTTGTAGAGCCGCCCGACCCCGTTGCTGGCGACGCGGTCCCGTATCATGATGCAGCCACCACTGTGCTTGACTGTGCCAACAGTACACTCTGGCACAAGTTGTTCACCTGGTCAACAACTGAAATACACCACACCATCTGATGCTCTCATATTAAATTTAAACTCGTGGGGCCACAGTACGTTGCTCCACTGGTCCACAGTACATCCTTGGTGGGCCCTGGCAAAGACCAGCTGTTTCTTCAATTTTCTGGTTGATATACGGTTTTTTTGTGGTCCTGCAGCCTCTCAGGCCAGCTTTCAGCAGTCTGGGACGTTCCGTACGGCTCGGGACATGTTTGCCACGGTTTTGAACCAGTCTGTCTTGAGCTCCCACGACAAAGTCCTTCTGCTAGCCAGATTTATCACCTTGAGGTACCTGTCGTCACGAGCAGACGTCAGCCTTGGATGACCAGAACGAGGCTAATTCTTGCAGCTTTGCATCACTGCGAACCTGGTGACAGTTTTCTCACCGTGCGCGCACAAACGCGGGTCAAATTGGCGATATCATTCGAAGAGAGGCCATCATTATTCATCTTCACTGCCAACTCCCTCACGTCAGAGCCAAAGGTGCTTGGATCGACCCATGGTGAAGGAAAAATGTCAAAAACAGCAACTAAAATTTGTTGTTCGTGTCGTGAGGACCACCACGAGTTGTGCAGTTGAATTTCCCGCTGGTTTTGCATCACACATTTTGTACCGTACGGTACCGTACAAATTTCAAATATTTTGGCCAAAAATTTGGGCCTAGCTTTTTCATGATTTTCACCTGAAAATTTGTTTTGAAGCGCGCGTGCGCTGTAGAAAACTTATCTCACGCGTTTTCATCGGGCTTGCAGCAGGTTTGAAGATACACAACCTGGCAGCACCACTGTATTGTGCCAAACCCCAAAAATTTATAGGTAGGCCCAAACTTCTGGCCAACACTGTAGCTGCACGCTATGACGTTGCGGAGGGTGTGGCGCGGCCGCATGACGTCATGGCGCAGCCCCCCGAAACTCAGTTTTCAAACGGAAATATCTCGAGAACGCTTTGTCGGAGACACATGGGACCAACACCATTCGACTCAGCGCCCGAAACTCTACCGACCCTGAAATTTAAATTTTTCACCGGACTTCCCCTTTAAATAATAAGAACAGCTCACATACCGTGGAGATTGGATATACCGACCTTGGATAAACATAACGAGAAATTGAGTTAGCGACAAAATTCTGTCGCCCAATTTGTTTGGCAAGTCCTTTCTGTACATGATAGATCGGGTATAACGACCTCGAAAATAACGACAGATCGAATTTACTGACACTTTTTGGTGCCCGAAGACCTGAAAACTTGTGAAAATACATCGAGTATAACGACTTTCCTCTTGTATTAGGCAGACTGGCATGCATTGAATATGGCTGGGTCACGTGCTCGGACTTCCAGGCCAGGTCACTCCACGCGTGCTTTAGTAATTAATTTTACATTGCGGCCGCAGTGCAGCGGTGTATGCATGACTTTTGCCATGCAAGACATACGTGTATGCACATACACATCTGAAAAATGCATTATGCACATGCATATCTGCAATATTATTTCTGTCATTTTGACATTTACTTATTTATTTATTTCACCTTCCCGTGGCCAGAGAATATAGGCCAATATGGAGGGAGGGGGGACATACATCTATTATATTTCAAAGATGAAGCTGCAGTAAACCTCAGCCCTTCTTCAGACTTGATATACATTGCATACTAAATGACATTTAGTATGCAAGGTATTTCCTATTTAGTATGCAATGCATTTAGTATGCAATTTAGTATGCAATGTATATCTTCACATTGTGAAGATCGATTATAATGACATTTCGTTTTCTGGTTGATAAATATGGTGGTAAAGACACACCTGGCAATATGGCGGTAAACACACGCCTGCCCACACACGCTCTCTAGGCTGCAAAGTTCTGGCACAGAGCTCTCCTTCTCACAACGATGTCTTCAACTTTATTCTCCCGAGTCAAGCTCCGTATGAAGACATCCAAGAAGAAGATTGCCTGATGAGTCCAGTGGGGACGAAACGTACGTCGCAATCAAGCTATGTCGTTGCTGTGTCATCATCTATGTGCCATGCGCTACTTGATGTACCAGCCTGCTATGCCGGACACCGCCAGCCATGCATCGACCAGGCGCCAGGCGCGAACTGATGGTGGTGGTGGTGAGAAGGAGAGCTCTGCTCGCTAGTCTCGCTATAACCCATGCTAGCAGACCGGCAAGCAAAACACTTACAAAGAAATTGGTTCCCGGTGGCGAAATCATCATCAATAATTGAATTACTTGCTACTTTCGTGGATGTAGATAGACTACAATCATTATTTAAAAAAATTATTATTTTTATTATTAATTTTGCTTCTTGACTTTTGTAGTTTTAGAATAGTGCATGCAGTGCACATGGTGCATTCATGCATGCAACGATCGGATATCGAGACATACGTCATCACTCCTGTACTGGGGATATCATGGACTCCAGTCTTCTCAAAGACTGTAGACCTAAGTATAGTAGTCGTCAACAATCATGCAGACAATGGCACTCGATATGAACCCCTCCAGAGTTCCCAACTCCGTCACCTAGTACAGTACCTGATCACCACCATCATCATTAAAATTATTTTATCATCATTATCACTAAGTCTTGTCCCACTCGCCATAGCCGCATGTCACTTAGCAGTTCCAAACACGAAATCGTTGCACAGCGGATGCCGTGTCGGTTGTACATGGCCCCATGCAATATGGATTGGATTGCCAGTATGCCGGATGGCCAAGGTCAAGATGGATATCCATTAAAAAAATAAAGTATTTGAGTATCAGTCACTCAAGGAATTTGAACTCGGAAAATAAGAAAATAGAAATTCAAGTATTCCTAAGGTGGAGGGAGTTGAAATGGGAAAAGTCTGAAGGAAATACTCACTGCCACCACGGAATAGCATATAGATATAAGAGATGTTTGGGCGTCGAGAATAGCATTCTGAACTTGTGACGCCGCAGAATGCAATCGAACAGGGACATAAATGCATTCTTTCATGTTCAGTGCTTGCGTCGGTATTTCGTCACGAGAGTGACCAAGAAACATCTAAAAAATGGCAGAATTGAAATCCCCTTTTAATTTTTTGGAAATGGGAAGTGATCAAGGTAAAGTATGACAAGCCGAGAAAGAAGAGATACAGAGGAAATGCATTCAGAATATTCCACATGATTGCAAAATGTAGTGTAATCAAGAAAGGACTGTCTAGGAATGCTGCTGATGCAGTACGCCAACATACTGTAAGGGGTGAATACAACTGCTGAATTCTGCGGTTTCCCGGATATGTGCTCTGAGCACCGACATGCCATTAAAGACACACCACCGGAAATGCTAATAAATTGTACAATACCAGCTGTAACAATGTCGACTAAACTCTACAGAACACGGACGCTGGATATTGCTTTGAGTTGACCATACTCCCATGAGAATGAATATTCTATCATTTCTATGGACGACTTGCCTTGGATTTACATGGCTAAGTTAAGCCAATGCATGAGTCATACTCATCATCTGACCAAGTTAGTTAACGGCTCTTGACCCGCAGATTGATGCCATTCTCGGCTCTCACGATCAGCGCGTCATTGTATAGTGGCTCGGGTAGGCTGGGGTCTACGGCCAAATCAAAGCGCACCAGGACACTGGCCACTGTCATCCGCAGCTCGTTCATGGCTAGTGCTTGGCCGATGCAGTTTCGCGGGCCAGCTGAGAACGGGGCGAGTGCATGGGGGTGACGACCGGCAGCGTTCTCTTCTGAAAACCGGCTTGGGTCAAACGTGTATGGGTCTGGATAGACACTGGGGTTATGATGGAGTGAGAAGATGTCCACGGTGGCAATGGAATTGGCAGGAATGAAGTAGCCACCGATGTACATGTCATCCATAGTCTGCCGCTCAATATAGGACACTGTGCTGGTCATTCGCAATCCTTCTTTGATACATTGGTTGATGAACTTCAGCTTGCCTAAGTCCTCATGCGAAACAAAGCCTGAAAAGAGAACGGAACATGTAAAGTTGCACACACTGGGACCAGATTTCCATTTTATCATGCAGATACGATGTTGAATGTTGCGGAGTGGTGGTGGCAGTGGAGAGGGGAAGGGTAAATGTTGGGACCATAGCACCTGATCCGGCGGCCATGGCCAGCCGGACCTTTTTTTCGAAAAGGCTGACCTACCCAAATTATGCGAAACTGGGGCTCTGTCAATAATGTTCATTTTAAAGTTTCTGGTCAAGCATGCCTTTTGACCTGACCCCCTGATATCCCAGTGCTACAGCCCTGCATGCAAGGACGTCACAGCCGGGGCCGCCCCACTTTTGTGGCCGATTTTTTTGCACACTGCAACAAAGGGCAATGGTCCCAGCTCAGCGCAAACGTGGCGAATACTGAAGAATCCTTGTCCCCGATCGTGGCGTATTCTTGTTTTGTTGCAGAAACAAGAAGTCTTTCATTGTAGTTATTTGTACACTGAAATAGCACCAAACGCCCTGAAATGCTTGCAATTGGCTTCAACTTTCGAAATTATTTCCCGGCGGAGTGCCACAATACACAGGGAATAATGGAAATAATTATGTCAAAATACAGCAACTTATAGAGCTACAGCAAAAGCATAGATCGAGAACCTCACGATATACGTGTGGAAAACATAACATTCAGCTGAACAGGTCAAAAACAGGGTGAAGGTGAAGAAATGACTAAAACATAATGAAAACAAAGTTACGACGAATAAAATTATAACAGATTTTTTAACATTTATTGATTTATTTTTTGAAAAACGTAAAAATGTTTGGCACCTATGAAATCAGGGGATGGCCCACGCCTGGTAAAAAAAAGAAGAAAAAAAAAAGAACAACAATGAGGAGCTACAGTGAGAAAAAGACAGTGATAAAGGACCATCAGTGAAAAGGTATAATAAGTTAGAAAAACAGAACGAGAACATGACTCAGTGGCCGATTCCAACGCCGGCACCGTCATGTACGGAGAGTCCCATAAGACGGCGACGGGAGCCTCGCAGACGCATGTCCACGGCGCTGAAAATGGCGAACTGAGTGCGCACGCGTACCCAAGCCATCATGGCAGAGAAGGGCTTCTCCCATTTCGCTGCTAGGGCCTTTTCACACTAGGTAAAAGAACATGAGTGCACGCGACATCATATACCAGGTTTGTTTGGGCTGCTTTTCACACTGCTAGACTTTGAGAACGTCATGAAACATTTTCACGGGATTCCCCATGGTGACAGCCTACGTCACTGACGGCGGTAAAAGTATGAATTAGTTACATCCGCACAAGAATTTCAAGAAATTTTGGATTCATGATCGCTCGAGAAGGCGAAGGAGCAACAAAAAATCCCTTTTTCACTTCTTTGTTGAAGAATGCCTCCTGTTCGTGATGATAGGCGGCGAAGAAGACTTTTGGCGTTGATCTCACGGACGAACACTCGAACAGGTGATGCAGGAACAGACAGCACCTGCGCTGAGCTCAATGAGCTAATGGGCCCATAGCCTGGTACGTCCGAAAACGTTTTGTGCCACAGCTTGAAGTTGCCCCACTCGCCACCTGCAGCTGCGAGATCTAAATTGCCTGCATTGCCACCACAACCATCACCTACAGCTGCTCCGGTTTGGGTTGAAGCTGTGTACTTCTTGTAGAAATCTCTCGCCTTCGACTTGAGGTCGATTTTATTGCTGACAACCTTGAGCGAGAACTCATGCTCGTTCTTCTCCCCATATAGTTAGTTGCACAGCATACTTGTTGAGAGCCTGCACCACCTCCATCTCCCTCACTTTTCTTTTGATCAGCTGACCGCCTTTCCTCCGCTGCTGCTCGCCCCACAGCTCGATCAATTTTTTTCTAACTCATCGTTGAAGTGAACCAAAGGCATTGTCCAGGAGAGTTGAGGAAACGCTCGACCAACACGACGGCCACAACAAAAAACTCTTCACGAATGTGAAAACGGAAGAATGGCACTTTCTACAGGGGTCCTCGCTTGTCGTAAAAGGCACGTGCGCCGTTTTCATTTTAGCGCCATTTTCCACCCATTGTCATGACGATTTTCATGAAAATGTCACTTATACGGCGTTTTTTACCTAGTGTGAAAGGCTTTTTTTTCTTCTTTTTTTTACTACAAAGCACTGGCCAGCAACATAAAAGGGGAGGTAGACAAAAGTGGACAAGCGAACTTTGACAACACAGAGGAGCGTGGCATGCGTGCCGATGAGGTAGGTCAACCTCCCCCGACCTAGTGGTCTCGGGTTCAACAGTTGGTCTACGCATCAGGAAGGGGAAATGGACAGAGAAAGGGAGAATGAGCATGAGGAGCTTCCCAGGAGAGGAAGAGTGAAAGAGAGAGAGAGAGAGAGACAGAAAATGATAATAATAGAGACAACCGGTTATTCTCAGTGCTGGTGGACTTCAGTGGCCCATAGCCAATTGGTCTGGCGGAGGTGATGGTAGGCCTTGGTCTTGAATGTCGGCAATTTCTTGAGAGTTGGGCGTTCGGCGAGGATTGGGGCAGGCAGTGTGTTCCAGCTCTCCAGGACAAAGTATGGGAAGGAGCGGCGGATGAACTCTGGACTGGAGGCTGGCAGAGGAGTTGCGAGTTGGAAAGAGTGGCCACCGAGGGACTGGCGTTGCCGGCGCGTCCGGGGTGCAGCGTTAACTCTTGCTGGGGGAGGTACCATGTTGGTAAGCAGAGCTGGACCTGGTATGCATTGCAGCTTATACAGGTAGCACAGCCCGTAAACATGCCTTCGGATTGCCAGGCTGGGGAGCAATGAGGGGCCAATAACCTTCATGGCTCGACGCTGGACCAGGTCCAGCTGATGGAGGTGACAATGTGCCGCACTTGCCCAGACGAGAGGGGCGTACTCCATTATAGGCCGTACAAATCCTTTGTACACAGTTAGGCGCCCTGCACTGTCCAGGATCCGAGATGCCTTTCGGAGCAGGCCGAGTCGCTGGTTGGCTCTAACGGCAAGGGAACGGATGTGGGCCCGGAAGGAGAGAGTACTGTCAAATAACACTCCTAGCAGCTTGAGCTGAGGGCTCTCAGGCACCTGCATGCCATCAAATGTGAGCTGTGGGACATCCAGGGATGGTCTGTGGCGGTCAAGGAGTATTGCCTGAGATTTTGATGGCTCGAACTTTATCTTCCATTGGGCACCCCAAGTCTGCAGGCGGTCAATAGATGCTTGGAGGCTATTGCAAGCAGCAGCGATGGTATCTGGGTTTCTGATTAGGGCATAGAGTGTTGTATCGTCCGCATAGACAGCTAGACTGGAGCCTGGGGCTAAACACTGTTCTGCATCGTTTACATATAACAGGAAAAGAGTGGGACCTAGGAGGCTACCCTGGGGCACTCCAGCCTTGATCGGGAACAGTGGGGAGGACTGACCGCCAACAACTACAGTCAGTTTTCGGTCATGGAGATACGACCTTAGCCAAGCCAGGAGTTGGTCGTGGATGCCACATTGCTGTGCCTTCGCAAGGACACCTGGGTGGGAAACCTTGTCGAATGCCCCGGCAATATCAACTGCCAGGGCATGCACAAGACCGCCGCCAGCCAGGGTAGTGGCCCAGGAATGCTGGAGAGCCGTCAGTAGGTCACTTGTGCCCAGTCCACGTCGGAAGCCAAACTGGGACGAGGAGAAGAGTTGATGGGTTTCCAGGTGGTTCACAAGCTGCCGATTGATGATACCTTCCATGATCTTAGAGATGACTTTTAGAGAAGACGAGACGCTTCTGGTACGCACTGTACTCACGGTGGGGGACAGCATCAGTGGAACACACCAGAGGAGTGAAAGAGCCTCGTAGCTCTTCAGCGGCATGCTTGTACTTCCTCTTCTTCGCTGCAGCTGCTTTGTTGGCGGTGGCATTCCAGGACAGGTTGGCCTTGGCATAACTGGGTGCGTCAGCATCTACGATGCGGTTATCGAAAAACGCCACCCGGTTGCCTTCCCATACTCCGCGAGCGAGCCAGTCCGCTTGGAGCATAGGCCGACCATTCCTGTCCTGTTCCGGGATGAGGATCGGCTCGATGGTGACGCCGCCGAAGGCAATGTCGGCAAGCTTGGCATCACTGTCACGGAGGTCGTTGTGGCCTCTCTTGACAAGGCCGCCCTTATGGCAGTCAAGGCCGTGCTGCAGGGTGAATGGGGCGCCACATCCGTCACAGTGAGATGGAAGAGAGTTGGGCTGCCTGCCGTAGCGGATTGCCAGCTGATCCCGAAACTGGGTTGCGGACATGTCGTAGCCTTCCTGACGGAGCGGTAGGACGGTCAGCCAGCCGGAAGCATGTCCGTCGACGATGCGGGAGAGAGTGCGCCGTTCCGTTTTGGAGAGGTCTTGAAGAAGATCCTTGCTGAGTGCCCCTGCTTGCTCGTCCCTTATCCGGCTTGCCTGGCTCGTCGCTAGTTGGCAATGACGAGAATGGTCATTGATGACCACTGGCTGACCGGAGCAGATGGAGCGCGTCAGAGTCCGAGTAGCATCTTTCGACACTGCATGGGCACCCGGTGCTGTTTCGGTAGGATCGGTGATGGCGAGGCCACCGAACTTGGCAGGGAGGGCGAGTAGCTGATGTTCTTGCTCAAGGACCTCTCTACCCAGGACAGCAGGCGTGAACTGTTGCCGAATGATGTCACGTAGCGGGGCGTACTCGGCTTCATGGCCTTCGATAACGCGGTGAATGTATGACCATTCGCAGGAGAGGGACCGTGTAAACGCGCAATAAGCTGCTTGTGGGTATGCTTAGGCAGCATCAGAGAGGTGTTCCACGCTCTTAACCCACGATGCAACTTTGTTGCTGACAAACTGCTGTACACCCGCTTCATCACCGATGCATAATCCTCCTAGGAATCGGCTGGATAGTGTGACTTCCACCTGGAGGTCGCTGAAAAGGTCTTGTGCCTCCTGCAGGAACTGAGGTTTGACAATCAGGACACTCTTGGTGGGCTCAGCAAAGTAGCCATATGCTGGACCAATTTCGAGAAGGGAGCAAAGCCAGGCCCTTACCCTACACAGATAGCCAGCGCAGGACGAATCGTCAGCATACCAATTCTGAATGTGCTGTTCTGGATCTTTCAGCCGGGTGACAAGAGGTTGCACTCCAACTGCATACATCAGCATTGCCAATGGACAGCCTTGGGTGGTTCCCTCACGACTTAGAATGACATGGATATTGCTGGGGGTTGTTCCTTTAAGAATGATGACAGCGAAGCCTCGATACGAGTTGAATAGAAACCGGCTTGCGCGTGGCCAGAGTATGCGGCAGTTCCAGAGGGCAGCGGATCTGCTGATGGAGTTGAATGCATTAGAGGCATCCACGAGCAAGATGCCCTACGTTTCCTCGCTGTTGAAGAGCTCGTTCATAAAATTATAACGCTTCCAAAACAGACACATGTAATACAGATCAGCCACGGGCCAAAACTGAGAAAACATTATTATTACTTCAAGTATTATTATTATTTTAATAACGAAGGTACGTGTTGGGTCGTAAGTATCCACGCAAACACACATCCAGTCAAAATAAGGCACTTGTCAAAGTATCCGAACGTTTTCGGTCCCTTCTCATCAAGGATTATACAGGGAATGGCTCAAGTTGGAAAGACTTAAACTTATATAACGTAAAGATATGAGATAACAACACTCGTGACAAGGTGGAAAAGTATCAAGTTCACCACGACACAAAACTCGAAGGAAATAATAATAGCAACAAGAACATAGTGAGCAAATTTAGTTACATTGTTAACACCTCGACGAGGAGTAACACCAAACAATTGTAGCGACAACACATTTTCTTTCTGTACGCAAAGTTCAGGATCTAACTTACGGATATACAAAGCTTCTAACACAGCCAGATGCAACGCACATCTACCACGTGACAATATTGAGAACACATTATCACTGTACAACTCACGACAATTGGTACGGGCTGACAGATGTTGCTTGATGGACGAAGTGCGATTCTTAGCTCCGTTGGGTGTAGTCTCCTCCAATGTCCCGTCATCTCGCCTCTTCGCGGCATCACCACTACCCGTCTCTTTGCTTTTCCGCGGCCTTCCACGTTTTCTGACACTAACCGTTGTGTGCGCGATGCCCAGTGTCCTTTCAGCTACGTCTCCTCCATTGCGGATTTCTATTGATCTTCTTACTTCAACTTGTCCGGTGTTCGATATTGAAGTTCGTTTTCGCGGTCTACCACGTTTTCGAATATTGACTGTTGTTGTCACTTCCGTTGTCGTTGTACGTGCGTCCTCACCAGTCCGTATTTTTACTTGGCTTCGCGTAACCCTTCCCGACGCAGACAGATCCTTTGTCAATTTCGGTGGTTTACGTGTCGGTCTTTCACCATCTTTCACGCTGTTCTCAGCTGGACCCTGCCCTACACACAAAAAGGCAGATTATCCTACTTGGATGTACAAATATCACGCAACATTAACACTAAGAGTTTGGACACCACTATCTATAGGAAGCCAACTTTCACCGGCCTCTACATTCCGTGGGGGAGCTATACTCCAACGAAATCGAAGAAACATCTTGTGAAAGCGCTAGTTTATCGTGCGCATAGAATATGTTCCCCTCATCTATTGCAGGACGAATTAGACAGACTGACATCAATATTTACGAACAACGGCTAGCCAAAGGAATTTCTGGCCAAGCTTATCAACGAAAAACCGGCGACAGACAAGCCGATCCAATTTAGACCTGACCTTTGCCCAGTGGTGCTCCGTTTACCCTGGGTTGGCGCCGGTTCTGCGCGCGTGGAGAAGGATGTTCGTGGTATCGTATGTCCATCTTATCCGTGCGTCAAGCTGTACGTCATATTTGGGACAGTGCGTGCGTTCAGTGTGAAGAAGGATGTTCTACCTACCCTTAGTAAAAGTAACCTTATCTATTTCTTTCAATGCCGACAATGTGAAGATCGGTATGTAGGTAGAACCCTTCAGCACCTGGGCGCGCGCATTCGTCAACATGTGCCGTTAAGTTTTGTTCCGCTTGATGCGCGTGAGTGTCGTCCTCGCCGTGGTCGTCCTCCAAAATGTGCTGTCCAGTCCATCGGTGGATCTTCCTCTTCCTGTGAAGATATCACTGCATGCCCGTCCTCCTCCGCGTGTGTAGGGCAGGGTCCAGCTGAGAACAGCGTGAAAGATGGTGAAAGACCGACACGTAAACCACCGAAATTGACAAAGGATCTGTCTGCGTCGGGAAGGGTTACGCGAAGCCAAGTAAAAATACGGACTGGTGAGGACGCACGTACAACGACAACGGAAGTGACAACAACAGTCAATATTCGAAAACGTGGTAGACCGCGAAAACGAACTTCAATATCGAACACCGGACAAGTTGAAGTAAGAAGATCAATAGAAATCCGCAATGGAGGAGACGTAGCTGAAAGGACACTGGGCATCGCGCACACAACGGTTAGTGTCAGAAAACGTGGAAGGCCGCGGAAAAGCAAAGAGACGGGTAGTGGTGATGCCGCGAAGAGGCGAGATGACGGGACATTGGAGGAGACTACACCCAACGGAGCTAAGAATCGCACTTCGTCCATCAAGCAACATCTGTCAGTCCGTACCAATTGTCGTGAGTTGTACAGTGATAATGTGTTCTCAATATTGTCACGTGGTAGATGTGCGTTGCATCTGGCTGTGTTAGAAGCTGTGTATATCCGTAAGTTAGATCCTGAACTTTGCGTACAGAAAGAAAATGTGTTGTCGCTACAATTGTTTGGTGTTACTCCTCGTCGAGGTGTTAACAATGTAACTTAATTTGCTCACTATGTTCTTGTCGCTATTACTATTTCCTTCGAGTTTTGTGTCGTGGTGAACTTGATACTTTTTCCACCTTGTCACGAGTGTTGTTATCTCATATCTTTACGTTATATAAGTTTTAGTCTTTCCAACTTGAGCCATTCCCTGTATAATCCTTGATGAGAAGGGACCGAAAACGTTCGGATACTTTGACAAGTGCCTTATATTGACTGGATGTGTGTTTGCGTGGATACTTACGACCCAACACGTACCTTCGTTATTAAAGTATTATCCGCCTCCGACTTCTTGTAAAATTATTATTATTATTATTATTATTGGTATCACAGGCATGGTGGTGGCCTGGCACAAGCGAAACTTCCTAAGCTGGTTGTGTTTCTCAATACAATTGTATAGCCGGTTGTACCGCGGACGTGCAAACTTTACTTTACTTTTTACTATTATTATTATTTATTACGAAATAGAGGTTGCGACTTCGGCGATGATTTTGTTTAGGAATGGGTTTGCTCCCACACTGGAGCTCGCGCTATTCCGCCGACGACTTGACACTTGACTGACTCACGCTGCCATCCAGAGAACACGAGAAGTCCATCGAACCTTCGACTCGGCAAACCTGCAAGAAAGCACCACTCCCTGCTCAATACACAGTGTTTCGGGGAATTCACCCCTCATCAGTTGAGCTTGAGTAGGCTGAGGAAGATTGTGCCTGAAGAGCACCACTTATATAGTGCTGTCCAGGCACAAACATCACCAGGGATACAAACGTACAGAGACACTCCGTTTCCAGCGCGACAAACACCTCGTGAACACCAGATAGCAGCGTGAGTCAGTTATCGCTCCTGGACGGTGAGAACAGGCTAATGAACAGTGATAACGAATAAAACCTTCGTGAAATGACGCTTCAGCTGATTCTGTTGATTGCCATTCTTATACTT